TCAGTCAATTCAGAGGCTTTAATCTTTTTATAAATAAAGATATATCTAGTTATCTTTATAAAGCAGTTAATAATGATTAAAATTGAGTCATATTCTTTAACTCTTATTGACTTCAGCAGATCAACTATGAAATTCATTGATAGATTCTATTATAAGTTCTTTAAAACAGACAGTGATATTAACTCATTATATTACTTATACTGTGAAATCTTTATTCTTTAATAGATATTATAAGTCTTAATATACTCTTTGACATCTGCTCAGAACTTATCTTAAATATATTTATATTTTAGAAGCTTCTCAGTCTTCTCTAATCTGAAGTGCTCTGCATGAAAATTATTATAATAAATTCTTAATAACTTCTGATACATCACTCTACTATAAGAGATGAAGACTGAATCATTCAGCAGTAGAAGTTCATATTCTTCTAGTTATCAGTGACTTGATTTCTTAGTGACACTGTCTTACTCAGAATCTGTCTCTTTCAAGTTCAAACTGAATTCTTTCTTCTTCAACTTCTGAATTTGAGCTGTAGTAGAGATATTCTTCTTCTATAACTTATTAATAAATTTCAAAAGTAGTTAAGTTGAAAGATTGTAGACTGTTTCATTCTTTATCAATTTAATAACAGTAAGATATGATATAAGAAGCTTATAATCTTCAGTATCAGTTCTCTGCAGAGACTCAGGTTTTCTTTCATCTTCTATACTAAGTTATACAGCTATCTTATCAGCACTGTTTCTGAGCTTTAGAGAATCTCAATTCTCTGCAGTCAGCTTCTTCTGCAGTGATAGCAGAGATTCTTTTATAGAATTCTTCTTCATATCAATGATATCATAATCAGGTTATTTAAATAGTATATCAGCAGAGTTAAGCTGATCTGAACAGTATCAGATATAGAAATTATACTCTGAAAACAGCTTCATTTATCTGACTTAATATTCTATCAAGTTCTTTATTGTCAAGAAGTAACATAGATTTACATAATCAGTGAGAACTTACACTGAATACTTACTACTCTGAAGATAATATTATCAGATCTTAAAAAATTCAATAATTACTAATATCTTCTAATTATAAGTGATAACTTCTTGAAGAAGAAGATCACTGATCTCTATTTACAGTGTCTTATAGACTCTGTAAAAAAGTCTTCTCTTACAGATAATTCATTATCTATTTCTTCAGAAGTAATTATTCTCTGATTCTTTTAATATTGAAAGATCTTCAGTATCAACTGTGAAAAGATTTCACAGATCTTATTTTCAGATGTATCAGTCTCACACTGACTGAGTAAATCAGAATTAAAGTGATTTAGTATTATAATATCTATAAAAACTTGTTTCAATTCTGTAAACATCTGCACAGTATCTTGAGTGAGAATAAATAGTTCTATTTTTCTGTCTTTCATACTTCTCTTTAACAGATCTGTAAGAGAAACAGTAATCTATAAATATGTATAGATAAATCATCTATAGAAATTCACAAATTTTAGAAATATCTATATCTCACAGTATATCTGTGACACTGATCAGTTCTTAATAACAGAGACTCAGCTTCTGTTCATTGAAATACTGTTTATCTCAATAATATAATCTAAGAAATCAATCTTCTGCATGTAGAATGAGCATTTTTCAGTGTTTGTATAGAGTTAATACTGTCTTAAGTGACTTAATACTTCTCAAATATAAGTATCATGTTCTTTCTCTAATTTTGAGAAGATTAGAATGTTATTCAGATGTACTATGTAGAAGATATTGACAAGATCTCACAGCATCTCATTTATATAGATTTGAAAGATAACTGAAGTGTTATAAAGATTAAAAGATAAAACAAGATATTCAAAATTACTGTACTTGATATGAAAAGCTGTTTTTCAAATATCATCTTTATTAACTCTGATTCTATGATAGATATTCTGTATATTAATCTTTGAGAATATCTTTGCTTCAGATAATCAATTAATTATCTTATCAATCAATGATAATAAATAGTAATTCTTAACTGTCATCTTATTAAGACCTCTGTAGTCTATATATAAGTATAGTCTATTATTCTTCTTAAGTATAAAGAGTATAGACATCTCTGCTAAACTTTTTAATAAGTGTATTCAGTTCTTTGATTATGCTTCTTTAAGATATTTATGCAGAATATTCAATTTCTTTATAGATAAGTTATAAAGAGATCTGTATAGTACTATTACATTATCTTCAAGATAAATCTTATATTATATCTTGATATCAGAAAACTTCACTACTTCTCTTTCTAAAAAGATATTCTTATAATCTGTAAAGAGATATTGTGTATATCTGTCTTTAATAATAAATACTGCTGCTAATCTTGTAGTAAGAGTAATGACTTCTTTATCTATCTTCAAGTCTCAATCATCTGCTATGCAGTATATTAACTCTATCTTTTTCTCAAGATTCTTCTAATGAAACTCTTCAGATTTCTCTATTACTATCTCTTTATCAGTGAGATAATATTATCACATCTGAGTAACTCAGTTAATAAGAGAATTGTTTTCTCTCAATTATAGAAGATCTAGAATAATGTTCTCATCTATAATATTAACTGTATAAAGAAGCAGACTGCTCTTCTTAAAGATTTCTTCTTAGTCTGTAATCACACACTTCACTTGAATTATATTAAAATAGTGATATTTTATTTTATCAGTAAATTTTATATAATCTGACAGATCTATCTTCTTTTAACTCTTCATTAAAAAAAAGAAATAGAATATGAAGTTAGTATTCACTCTGAAGTTAAGTAGATATCTCACTGATATCTTCTTATTTAAGATATATATTATAATTATAATATAAACTTAAAGATATAAGAATTATTAATTCTTCATTTCTTTCTCTTCTTTATCTTTCACAGATACATTTGTCAGAAGAGAAGTCAACTTTAAGAAAATATCTTCTCAGTTTCTTCTCTTCTTCAGCTTTTTACAATCACTGATATAGTAATTATTAGCTCTGCAGTTGAAACAGAGATCTTTATTAAATCTTTTTTAACATTTCTTCACAGTGAGTGAAGAATCAGAATACTTAAAATTCTTCTTTACTTTCTTCACACTGAAGCTGTCACAGTGCTGTTTAGATTCTGTTATTAATTACTTAAAAGAAGTCTTATTAATCTTTTTCTTAAAGAATTGATTATTTAAATAAATCTGAGAAGTCAGATTGACAAGCTCAGTGTGATTGATTAATAAACTCTGATATTATAATATTATTATTCACATTTTATAAGTCAGCTTTGTAAGATAAAGCTGTGTTTTTAATTGATTTAAATCATTAGTTAATTTCTCTCAATATTCTTTAAATCTTATATTGAAATTGAAAGAATTCTTATTATTTTATTAATATAATAAGTTGAATCACTGCACTGCTGTGAAGCTATAATTATAGTAATCTTTGATTTAATTTAGTAGAAAGTTCTTGAATTCTTTCTAAGTTATAGTAGTATTGATATACTTAAGCTTTCTCTTCTTAATAATTCAAGTAGTTGCAGAGATATCTTTAAGAAGATTGACAGTGTGTATTACTTATATCTTATAAGTATTATACTGACTTAGATTAAGATAGAATTTTTATTCAAGAGTATAAGTAAAGCTGTGAAATTCAGATAAGATATTTCTCTTATATCTCAGAGAATCTCTGATCTTAATCTCTCTATTTTTATAATAGATGTAGATGTGTAGAGACTGCAGCAGTGACAGAGTAATTGAAGAGCTTATATTAAAATATATAGTGAGTTCAGAAATCTCAGATTTCTGTCAGAGTAGAAGTATACATACTCTAGAAAATAATATAGTATTTCTCTCAGAGAGTGAGATCAGATCAGTCTCAGTACAGATATATAAGATTATATTAATCTATTAGAGCTTAACTGATTCAAATATATAATCAGATTGAGTGATTTAAATTATAATATAATAAAACTGAAGCAGTGACTAGTCAGCAGTATTATATAGAGATAGTTGTTTAAAAAGCTGTATAAGTGAGCTTGACTATCTTGCTTAAATAGTGAGCTCATAGACTACAGAGTTATTGTGAGAATATCATAGATATAATACTTAGTATACTAAGAAGATTGTATAAGATATATAGTAACTCTTATATATATTTCAGTAGAAGAAAAACAAATCACTGACTTCTTTAATGAGAAGTCAGCATCTAGTTATTAACTTATTCTATATAGATAATGAGTAAATACTCTTCTTTTATTTTATAAGTAAGAATAGCTGAAGTAATATCTCAGCAGTGTCTTATTATTAAGAAAGAGTAATCTGCTGACCTTGTATAAAAGCAGAGTTCTCATATTCATCAATCAGATCTTTCTATGATATATCTGAATAATGTCATAGAGTGATTGAAAACCGGTTCAGGCAGGATGAAATCATCTGCATGGAAGCGATGAGCCGTGTGAAACCGCAACAGGGCCTTGGCGCGGCCGGGAGCGTGACAATCTCTTGAAAATAGCTATTGAATTTATCAAAGATAATTAGATAGCTTGCAGGCTGAGCTGTGTAAGTGTTATTTTTTTTAAAAAAAAAATAGTTATTACAGAGTAATTAAATTAATGATTTATAGAGAAGAATGATAATAATGAAAATATTCAATTCTACTATATTGCAGTCTGTCTGTAGAATTGCTGTTTCCTAATGCAGACTAGCTCCGCAATAATTAGCACACCAAGGCTCGTGTGCTACAAAAACATTTTAGTTACTTCACCCCTGGATGATGTCAGCGGTGGTCCGAGCGTAGTCTGTTCCCCGAGTTTGGTTTTTGATAAGCTCGACTTCGCCATCTTTTTGAGAACCTCCATTACCTTACGCCTTTTTGGCAGAACTCAGAGCATAAAATTCATGGTATCTATTCATCTCTGTGTCGACGAGGAAATCAAATTCTCTAATTTTGGTCGTGCTAATTGGTAGGGAAGCATACTTTAATCTCTAATAGGCGGGTTGCTCCTACCAGGACCTCCGGGTTGGAAACATGGCTGCTTGCTATCGGTTTGCGGAGAATCAAGGACCTTTCCCACTGTACTTAAACGGGTGGGCTAAATTGTTTCCATATGTCTACCAAAGGGCTATGGAGGAGGGGAAGGCTTTAGAACCTCCGACCTTTATTCGCAGAGTGCGCCAATTAGTGGAATGGGCTTCGCCTTTCAACAATTCCCCAGGTGAGTGAAAATTTTATTCCTAAGAATGTTGAAAAAGGAGGGGAATGGGGAGACGCGATAGTGTCATCAAACTGATTCTTTGTTTGAACAGTATATTTTGCTTGTGGCTATTTATCAGCATTTGATTTCCAGTTGGCGAATATACCTTCTCATAGGTTTCGGCGAGTTCCCCAAAGTATTCGATTATCAGCTATTCTTTTTGCATTAATTTACCCTCCCTTCTACCTCAGGTTTCTGGAGGATCAGTACTTTTGAATGAGCGATATCCATTTAAATCAAGCTTTCCATTTCCCCACCCTTCTTCCCTTCTCGCGAATGCTCAGAGAATATTCAGTCTGAAATTTGGGCCTGCCCTTCCTCTATACTTTTTGTTATCTGTTCCCTAATCTAAACACTTATTTGACGTCGCTCTCTTATTCATTTTGTTATCTAAGTCAACCATCTTCTCCTACTCTCCCTTACAGATGACATCAAATAAGGGTTCTGGACCAAACCCTACCAATGAGCCGATGGGCCTTAATGCTCCAGAAACAACCCAAGTTACGTCCGGGCTAGAACTATTGCCGGTCGAACTTCAGCGCGCGATCTTGGAACGTGTCAGTATTGAGTTCAGCCGGGGTTGATACATGACATTTTACTAATAGAGATTGGCAGGTTCCAAGACGGGATGTGCTCAATGCGGCCAGGGTCAAAGCCATGTCTTATGCGGCTCGTCTAATTCTTTATACTACGGTTTCCCTCCGGCTAGCTCAACATGAGAGTTTTATCGAGGACATAAACCGGTTTGTTTCCGCGGGCCGGCAGAATATGGCTTTGGTTCAAAACCTTTCAATCCTGAATTGGAAGAAGCGAAGGGCCGTAGGCAGTGGACATCCTTACCGTTTCTACCGCAATGGTGAGTGGAGGCGGCGAAATCTGTTTACTCAGAATTCCAACCACTTCAATGAGACGATGCGAGGTTTGTTTGCCAGCATTTCCAATCTACGAACTGTCCGGTAAGCTATGAACAATCCCACCTGATTATTTCCTTTTTGAGAACTTAATTTGATTTACTCTCATAGCTGGTTTCATTTATTTAAAATGAACTATGAAACTTTTGCCTCCCTTTTTGCGATGCATGTCGACACATTGATGGGAATCGAAACATATGCGCTTACGGGCGACGAAGTCCCAATTCTTCCCGGGAGTCATAGTTTGGATCGATTTCCCAGGTTAAGAATAGCACTATATGCCCCTCAGGCATCTGGTTGGGATAATACCCTGAACCCATCAATGATAACATTGCTTGCCTGTTTAACTCGGCGTCTTAATCATCTCGTGCTTGGGGATGAAGGGCTTGTTATCAGTGTAGATAGAAACACAGCGATCGCTCCAAGTCCGCCCCGTTCACAGGCATCGATATATCATGTTTTGCTCCCACTAGCTAGAATGCCGGCCGTATTTGACAATTTTTCCAAATTGGATATCATTGGCATGGATATCACTTCGCCGCCTAACCAGCTAGCCCCATTGCTCCCTGTTTTTGACTTGTACAACCTGAACAGACTCAGCTTGGTTTCCTGCGTCGGCACAGAAGGTTTTTTGAAAGCATTGTCAAGGCCTGAGCCCCAGATGATGTTTCCATATGTGGCTTCTCGGATGCGGTTGAAGGAGTTTTGTATCCGTTATGAAGGTCCCACACTAGAGCTGAAGGTCGCCTTACAACAGTTTCTAACTTCATTCACTGGCCTAGAGCTGTTATCTGTACTCCTTGACGATGAGCCAGAACGTGAGATGATGGATTACACCGGAATTATTTTGGCGCATGGACCGACTTTAAAGGTCCTTGTTTGGGATATTCGGAAATGTAATCGACACCAGCGTCCCTTCTGTTTAGAAAATCCTGTTAGAGGCAGGCCTGCTTTCCTTGAGCTCTTGAGTGAGACCTGCCCGAATCTCGAAGAACTCGGCGTCGTTCTCAACATGCGACTACTTTACCAACGAGGTCAGGACATCGACAGAATCAGCTCGCATCGTCCTTTTGCAATGGTACGACTACCGCGTCTTAAAACACTTCATTGCCGCGAATTCTTTATCCAGAAGGGTCGCTTATTGTCTACAGCCCATGTCCTCAACGCAACCAAGGCCATCGCAACATCATTTCTCGACAGGGCATATTACTCCCACAACGGCTCATCACCACTGGAGCTATTGGCAGTTGGTCCGTTAAATTTTCATGATCGTTGGATTCAGAACCATTTTTCTCAGGATTACACCGCAACACCTGGCGCCGGCCCAGTGTTTTATGACATCAGTACATGTCCGGATAACTTAATGGGTCTCGCGCACCGGTTGAACCCGCTGTTGAGAGTGAGGCAGCCCGATCTAAACATTGAATTAGATGATGTTGAAATGATTCGGCAAGATTACAAGCACACCCGTGTCTTTGACTCTTATTGGGTGAGATAGCTGCCTGCACGCTATATCCATTTTGCACAGTGTGCACCATAGTCCCAGGGCACAGCGATGGTTCCTTCAACCCCTATATTCTTAGCTACCTAGAATTAGTTCCTCCCTACTTCCGCCCTCCTATTCTTATGGGCTATCCTTTCGCTACCCACCATGATTATTCAAATGTTCAAGGTAGTTTCGGGGATAGACCATCGTGACTTTCCAGACCTCCCTCGCCTTAGTACAACTTTCCTCACACAGCTATCTGTGAATGTCGATTTATAGATTTTTATTTTTATTTTATTTTATTTATTTTTGATGGAGGTGGAAGGTTGGTTGATTGTACACTGATCTAGCCGCGCAGCAATTCTATAGGTGTGTGGGTCACGTGGCCTCATATAGGGCATCCGGCCAACACCCCCCCTGGCCACAAGCACCCAAGCACCTGCTAGCTGGCGTGGATATTACATACAAATCTTGCCTAGTTATTCCATTGATTCTTCCTCTTCAAAGATTCCTTATATCATGTCAATTGATCCCTAACTTCTTGCTTCAATATCCCTCATTCTTGCTCCTTTCCTCCCTGGAATTTCTTCACAACAACATCCTGCTTATATAGCCTAAAACATCTTTCTCATCTCATAAGCTCTGACTCTGACTCTAGCTCTGGCTCTTCTGGCTCTGGCATTGATGTGGCTTCTGACTCTGGTGGACAGTCTTAGTTGATTATCAAAGGATTGGTTGAATATTCATATAGAGTAGGCCTTGAGCATTTGATAGAATGGATTGCTTGATTGTAGTTGAGAATGAAGCTGATTTGATCATGTATGAAGGAGATTGAGATATGTTATATCTTTTGCAAAGGGCTTTTTTTTATGCCTCTTATTGAGGGCTTTCAATGCCTCACATTTTGAGAGCTTTGTTGATCTTTGAACGCGAATTCTAGTTATTTACTAGCCATTCTGTCAAGTCCTTATCTTGTCCACTGTTGTAGGAGACTCACAGAATCAACCCCTTTTTAAAGCATGTAGTTGATGGCGCGGGAGCGGCCAAGGGCCCATAACCTGATGGAGGTGGAAGGTTGGTTGATTTGTACACTAATCTAGCCGCGCAGCATTCTATAGGTGTGTGGGTCATGTGGCCTCATATAGGGCATCCAGCCAACAATTTTATTATTTATTTTATTATTTATTTTATTATTTATTTTATTATTTATTTCATTTCATTTTATTTTATTTTATTTTACTTTATTTTTTATTTAATTTTTATTTAAAATTTTTTTTGATGATTCATTAGCACAATCCCTTGTAATTCTATGGTTATATGCCGCTAAGTTTGCTTTCGAAGACTATTTTACGGATAAACCATTGTTTTACTTGTGACCCTGTAGCTCCCTGGAGAGCAGGTGTTTCTCTTGGTCTCGCAAAATGCAATTAACCTAGCCCTCTATCTTATTTTTCTTTTCCTCTTATTTATTTGTTCTTTATTTTTTCACTACCACTCGCTGCTCAGAGGTGTTGATTTAGACAGCTAGGGCCACAAGCAGATACATGGAAGAATACACCACAGCCCTTTCCTGCTCATATCTTTCACCATGAATGTTTCCTCTGAAACCGTGGTGTTCCTCTTTCTTTGGACTCCATGGATAGTTACCTGGGATAGTTTTTCTCCAGTTTTAGTCTATTTTTTGTTATACGCATCACTGCTCGGCCATGAATCCACCAGTACTGATCCCAGGTTGTAATTTCGGTTGATAGCTGGAATGAAAGTTTGGGAAAAATGCTGGTGGTGTACTCTGTACTATCGGGTCCGGATCATATCCGTAATTTCGATTAAAGGTCCTATTCGATCATTGTTTTAAAAACTACACCATAAATAGCCCAGCTATATTGCAAGTTGACACGCAAGACGTAGCCTTTCACATAAATAACGTTAGCAGCACAACCTTAAAAATAAGCATAACCAATGGCCCCGCACATAGCCTGGCTGAATCAGCAATCATGTGATCAAGTTCAAAGTTGGGCAACCAAGAGACGAAATTGGCAACCATCGACATCACAGGGAGTACGGCTGTGATCTCGCTATCAACGTATGCGTAGACACTTTTTGAAACCTCGTCGCTGGGCATCCATCCCAAGCCCAATATGGACCCGATCTTGCCGTCTGACTGCGATTAAGGGGAATCAGCCTTGCAGGCCAAGCCATTTGAAAGTCTGGGACAAGCCAGGACTGAGGCGATGGCAGAGTGCCTGCTCTGTGCTTGATGAGCCATCACCGACCATTTATGCCCTGTCAACAGCTCCGGGTCGAGCGGCCATTGCGATTGTTCGAATATCCGGGCCAGCTTGTGTTCAGGTTTGTTCTCCAGTCCAAAAGCACTTCAATCACTTGTTCAGTTTGCTAATGTTGTCGCTCCCGCTATGCGCCTAGATCTATAACGCTCTCTGCCCCAAAAGTCCGCTCCCAGAACCTCGAGTTGCCGCCCTTCGCACCCTCTTCGACCCTTCCGTTCCTCCTTCTGTCAACAGTATCCTTGACAGAGCGGTTGTGCTACATTTCCCGGCCCCAAAAACCGTCACGGGAGAGGATGTCCTTGAATTGCACATCCATGGCGGACCCGCCGTGGTAAAAGCTGTTCTCAATGCAATTCCCCGATGCGCGGAATCTGCTTCTAGTGACAAATTTGCACCATCTTCCATCCGATACGCCGAACCCGGTGAATTCACCCGTCGTGCATTCCTCAACGACCGTCTATCTTTACCTCAAATCGAAGCTCTAGGAAATACTCTTTCTGCGGAAACCGAGCATCAGCGCCGTTTGGCCATTCGAGGAACCAACGATTCTCTTGCCGTTAGATACGAACGTTGGCGTCAGCAGCTACTTTATACCCGTGGAGAAATGGAGGCACTGATCGACTTTTCAGAAGACCAGCATTTCGACGAGTCAACCGAAGAGTTTGTGTCTTCTATTACAGGAGAAACTCGCAATCTGGTTCGACAAATTAACATGCACATTGAAAACGCTTCCAAGGGAGAATTATTGCGGAATGGGATCAAAGTTGCGCTTCTCGGGGCTCCCAACGCTGGTAAGAGCTCGCTATTGAACAGAATTGTTGGGAGAGAAGCGGCTATTGTGAGCAGTGAGGAAGGTACTACAAGGGATATTGTGGATGTCGGTGTCGATCTCGGTGGCTATTTCTGCAAGTTTGGGGATATGGCCGGATTACGATCTGGCCACATAGCCCAGGCTGGCCAGATGCCCATCGGTGCAGTGGAGCAAGAAGGTATTCGAAGAGCCAAGGCACGTGCACTGGAATCGGACGTTGTTATTGTGGTTCTTTCATTAGAGGAAGGTGATAGCGGAAGGGGCGTGAAGTTGGTCCTCGAGCCGGAGGTTATTGACGCCGTTCAAAGCTGCATAGCCCTCGAAAAGCACATGATTGTGGCAGTTAACAAGTTCGACAAATACACTCCAGCCACGAATACGGATGGAACAGCACAAGGGCTTGTCAATAGCTTGGCTGGGGAGATCACATCCCTGGTGCCCCACATTGTCCAAGATCAGATCTTCCTAATTTCTTGTAGGGAGGCCGAGAACGAGCAATCCGAAACGGCCGATCCCGGCAATATCCAAACCCTACTTAAGGAACTAATTCGCACATTTAAAAGGATGTCGACACCATCTGAATTGGAAAATGGAAATGACAAATTTGATAAATTATATTGGGAAGACTCATTGGGAGTCACGCATCGTCAAAGTTCTAATTTACAAAAATGTGTCCAGCACTTAAACGACTTTCTATCCCAAACATGCCAAACTCCTGATAATGCTGGAAACGCTGAACAAATTGAGCTGAACATCGACATCGTAACAGCGGCAGAACATCTTAGGTTCGCGGCCGATTGTCTGGCGAAAATTACCGGTCGTGGCGAGAGCGGGGACGTGGAGGATGTCTTAGGCGTCGTATTCGAAAAGTAATTTCCCCCTGGCAATTGAGCCTCTCACTTCCCTTAATGGCGGTAACCGTGATACTGACAATGTACCTGCCCACAGGTTCTGTGTCGGCAAATGAGTGTAGATTTTAGTCCCGTCGAACAAATCTAAGAACAGCAAATAGCCCGTAATCGAAACTCCGTCGTGGCGTCGTAAAGCAAGGCACTCTCACTTGCTGTCCTGCCCTGCGCTTCCGCTCCCTTCTTAATACCCTCTCGTCGCAGATTCGAAATGAGTCACGCCGTCCTCTCCCTTCCTTCTCCCCATTTGGCTATGAATCGTCGCTATCTCCATCGTTGACATCATTGTAACCTCCCCGTCCTTGCAAATATAATGACATACTCGTTGAGGGTACAGTTCGCTCGTTGGGACAGTTATAGCCACCACGTCCCATCGGTGCTTGCATTCGGATAGAGCGATGGCTGCGCGCAAGGTTGCGCGTGTTTTGCTTCAGATCTACGGGTCGGTTGCTTTGGGGCTGAGATTGAGCTATTCGATTCCGTCGTGGATTCGCCGAGCTAGTTTTAAATTATACTTGTTGCTTCAGTTGTAACCTCCGCGGCCCATGTGGTGGATTTCTGTAGTTATGATTCTGTCTTTCTTTTGGCGTTTGTCCTGATAGATGTGATAAAAATATCGATAAAGGGGTCTCGAGGTGAAATCAGACAAAAAAAGTATTATAAAGTAGGACGCAAAGTTTAAAAGGAAGATATGAACTATTATATATCTTGGTGAACGAAAGAATTCGAAAATGAAATTAAAAATGGGCTTATATGTGAAGAAAGAAAACGAAGTTAGCAGGCAGAAAGGAAGAAATCATCGCAATATATATAGCCCCATTTCATTTATTCAAGATTCCTGCCTAGCCACACATAAACGCCAAATGAGAGATACAGATCGATACAACGGATACCTGGGTCTTGAGGTATCCATTTCATTTACTCGTTATGACTAATATGTAATAATCCTAGTCAGTAGGCATCCGAGAGGATATAAAAATAAAATGTGTGATACAACGAAAACAGCCACAAAACGAGTCCAGAAACAGCCGAACAAAAAACTATAAAAAAACAAAGGTTGTAAACGAAACTGATTGGAAATTTCGAAATCACCTAAGTTAAAAGGGTTTCCCAACAACAAACGAACAAGCCGCATCCCCCCATCCATGCAACACCAAGTCATGGAACACCGTTTCCCTCAGCAGGTACGGTGCACTGCGCACAAGAGAGACAATACAAAAACGTGTATTATGCGGGCCGGAATCGATGGGTTAGGAAATATTCTGGCCTGCATGCAAGCCACGATTCAGACCCTCTTTTGGGGCTTATGTGCTCCACTGGAGCGCCCCAATTTTCCTGCCTGCTGAAAGCACTGTTCTTTTCCTGTTCATTGATGAGGCTAAGGACGCTAGTCTAGGATTATGAGGATCCTGGTAGGGTAGGGGAGCGTCGGAAAAACGACGAAGCTAAGCCTTAGAGGCCGAGTCACGTCGGCAATTCCAGGCGGTTGGGTTGGCACCTGGTCAGTGAATAATTCACGATGGGGCATGGATGATTTGGGGGAGTGGCCTTGATGATGTACCTGTCCGCTTGGCCCAGGCACCAAAGTCTAAAAGTATAAAATACAACTTTTCTACCCTGCGCTAGCTCTGGTCATGCTATTGATCTGAATGAATGTTTTTACCTTTCCTTTCAAGGATTGATAAAACTTTCCCTTTCAACGGCATGTTGGATTAAAGTTCCTAACGAAGAGATGTAACTTCAGTTCCCCTTACATAGAGGTATAGAAACAATCTGGTTTCAAACTAGAAAAGAGACAAAGAGCAGCATCCTCGGCTGGCTTTGATATCACGTGGATATAGTTTTCAGCCTCAAGTCACGGGCTGAGCCTAAAACTAAAAATAGAAATTGCTAAGTAGAATTAAGTTTTCCGCTAGACCTAATTTGGTTTTGCCCTAACTCATTTCAAGGTGTTGATCGATCTATTGAAACAGAAGCGGAATCCCGCCTTACTATGTTGGGAGTTTGAAACTCAACACAGGTAATCTTACGTTTTAAATTGCGTACGCTGTATATTTACTTGGAAAAATCCGGATGGAGCGAAAACCCGCGATCATATTGACAACATGGACCGAGGGGTCGTGCCCTTGCAGTAACGTTAACGACATGACACCCTTAACTAGTCGACGAACTCGTTTAGCGAACTCGTTACACGATGCAGGCCGACCTGAATAAACGAGACCAGCTAAAACCTGACGCTTGACGAGACCGAATATTAAATTATGAGGAAATAAATGCCGAGCTGTAGCCCCCAGTTTAAGCAATCCAGAGTGCTAGTTAGAGAAAAAGGACCGCCTCTGACCAAGTCAGAGACCAGAACCTTCATGGGATACGACGTGGTCTAGGATATCGCAGGTGATTCACGATTCACGGGAATTTAAAAACTACCAATCAAACAAACGCGCGCGCAGAATGAAACTTGACGATTATTCTGCAAAAGAAGGGGAAAAAGAAAAAAGAAAAAGCTGCCTTGCCAAGAGCCTAACCTCGAACAGGCCACCGACCAGCCTCGAACAAGTGGAGGCAAGGCCCACCGGCCTGGATGCATGTCATGACACATCTTCGGACCAAAGACACGAAGTGACGGGTGTCAAACTAAAAGGTTCTAGTCCGCTGCCAAACGGGAGCGCCTCCAATTGCGGCCAACTGATTGGTTTCCGATTTCACGGGCTGAAGACGAAATGGAGCCCTGGGTGTGGCTTGGTTCTTGCACCCTTTTTGTTTTGATCAATCCTTTGAGCAGATAGGATTAGTGGGGTTTGAAATTGGACGTCGTATCAATTGCTTTTAATTTAAGGCGATTATGGGGACGGAACGTTTGCTGTTTTACGCGCATACGGAGCCTGTCAAATTCGTTTGCACAATGAACAGGGCGAGGAGGGAGAAAGAAGAATTGGGAAATCAAATCTTTGGGTTTCCAGGATTAATGACTTTCTAATTGAAAACGCATTCTACAGAGTAGCAGGAAGGGAAATACATCCACGCCGCGTACGGTCCTGCTGGGGAGTTGCTGATTTACAACCGGGTAATAATACCATGGAACAAAGACCATCATATGAAAACGAAATGGACGTTGTAAAGCAGCCGATAATTTTCATTGGATTCTTATTCATTTATTTTTATTTCTGTTTCCGCTGGTAACAATGAACTACCCCCTATCACACTCTAAAGACCTGAAACCTCCCCACTCCGGCAACATGCCAAAACGGTCAATGACAACAATGAACAGTTCTTCTGATCAGGTTCAGTGCAGATGCGATATTTCCCCTTCATCTGTAAAGGCATACTTTGAAACAGCACCGAGAAATTCGAACTGCTCAATAGCGAACAGCTATTGATATGCTGGTAGCAGTGACAGTGAAAGAGATGGAATCAGATCGATAGGTCTTGGGTTTATCCATCAAGTAGCTATCCGCGATGCGATTGATAGCACTACTGTGGATGAATGAATTTTCTAAGTACATGTACATTACCATGAAGAAAGATTAAATTGGGACGGGCACATGCCGATGAACCCTTCAGGCTCAGTTAGGTTCCAATTGACGAGTGTTCATGTGCTCTACGCCTTCAATGATTGTTTACCATGCATATTAATACACCAAATAAATAAAAATAAAATAAAGAATAGATTGTACATGTATATTACTATACCATGCAACCTTGCCATTAAAGCACTCGTTCTCCCGCATTTTGCATCCCTCCGAGCGGTTTCGTGCGACATTTCCCAATAAATGCAGAGTAGAAATCACCAAAGAATACGCCGTTGGATGGTACAAACGCCTGACACAGCATGTACGGCACGCTGCCGGGATCGATGCTGCCACGTGGAGCATGCGTATGGGCATTACCTAGATCTGGAGAGTTGTGTTGGAGATTTATGGCACATCTGTGTGAGACTCTGTTTCAGGCACCGTTAATAAACGCAGCTAGATTGGGCGAGGGTAAACTATTCCGAATGGCAGTGGATGAAAGTTGGCTGACCTCGCCTGCGCGAAGTCAATTGAACAGAAAATAATAAAATAAAAAATAAAAATAAATTGAATTGAATGGTTGCAGCACGGAAACCCTTTACTGTAGATTTTTTGGGGGCCACAGACCTTGGTTCTCTGAATCTCCTCAGTCAGGATTGAAGACAATTGGCGAGCAAATTGTTACAGATTGTCTTCTGTGGAACTGATATTTGCACGGCCAGGCAAGCCTCTGCAAAACATGTCCTTGTGGAGTCATCATACAACTAACCATCGCGAGGTATCAGAGAAACTCATTGGGAAAAGGGAATGGAAGCGTTTCCATCGCACTGGTTCTGCGGCTGCCAGGGACTCGGCTGTTTATCAACCACGCGCGTGTCATCGTCGTTCGGTTGGACTACCGAATACGATTCTGGGGCCTGATCCTATGGATACGAAGATTTAAGTTCGCTGGCGGTGGCTGGAAAAAATGCCTGCCCTGTTGAATTTCGGCATATTCTTCAAGCGAATGGAAGAGATTGGAGCAATTGTCTGCGATGATTGAAAGCTGAGATCTAGATACCAGTTAATTCTTCAGCAGCATGGAGGCGCCGTTAGCTGCTCGCTGTTGTTTGCTAGCAAATGAGCCTGGGCAATCTAGCAACGATTCAGGCATCTGTTATTTAGTTACCTTGACAGTTTCCGCAGCAGCAAGCAAGTGTTTTCAGGCAGCGGTGTTGCGAAGGACTAGCTATGCAACACTGAGTCACTTTACGAGTTAGAGAGCGGGCCAGGCCGTCCCTGGTACATGTACATACATACAAATGGGGAACCAAGTCTTCTTCAAGACTCCCAAGTACCGAAAGTCAATTAGACTGTGGCGGTGGCAGTCTCGGTGCGTCTTGGTTCGCGAAAGCTCCACTGCAAAATAGGATATGCTGAGCTTTTTGCTCCCGAAAGGTTTTACCCTCCGTGCACCGTGTTATCGGCCACGGTAGCTAGCCACCTAGTTAGAGAAAAAGGGGCCCTGAGCTGGCTCAACAGTTGTACCGCCCAACAACCATGGGAAACATATAGAAATATTAAGTATTTTGCTGTGCTAGATGATGGCCTTCATACCCGCAGCCCGAACCGTAAGGCCGTTGACAGGAGCTTCGTAATCAAAGATCAGACGAACTGGGGAGTAGGTACGGTCACTGGGAGTCATATCTATCTCGGGCTGAAGAGTTCAGATGTACATGTACTCCCTATGACTGAAAAGTGTGGCTGATGCGGTTGTTTATTTTCTAGCGTCAGGAGTTCAGGGTTGGAGCAGGATGGATAAGTTAGTAGGTAGTAATGCATCACCCAGTCGCCCAGGTCCCCGTATATGAGTCGCAATGACTTTTTGGCTCTTGTTGGTTCTCTGGCCCTTGTAAAACGTAATTTCATCGCTGGTAGGGTCGCATCAATTGACTCAGCTCAGGATATGTGGTTGGTCCATGAAAAAATGCACACATTATTGCTCCTGTCATTCCAACTCATCATTGGCACATGTATCACCATTTCTTCGTTCGCAGTTCCCATCTTTAGCACCGTCCCCGGGCCCCCCCCCCCACCAATAATAATTATTTTAATCTTTTTGTACAAAACGATTTTTTGGGGGGGGGGGGGATCACCGTGCGACAGGCAGGCAGATTGTAACACGATTCATCCATCCTATGCATTGTAAATCGTGGTCTTGCCGGGATAATCTCCCTTGGGGCCATAGGGCTGAGCAGCTCAAGGCACATCCGATCGGATACGGTAAATAATAACAATGGCTTTTTTTCCCGGCCCGCAGAATCAGCCACGTTGGCAATCCGAGCTAGGGAGTTTGTGAGTGACAGTGGTATACATGGTGCAAGTACCTCACAGGTTACATAACATACATACCAGTGGCCGCTGGGTGGTTGGACAGGTGAGGCTGGGGCCTGGCTTGACCATGACTGCCCGTCCGTCCGTTCTCTTTTCTTCTCCTTAGAACGGATTAGTTTTGTCCGGATATTGACTATTGACGAGTGAGATCTTTCCGGTGAGGTCATAGATGTTTGTCAGCTGATTCAGCCATTGGGCTAGCTACGTTGAACTGGCGGTCATGTTGAGAAAATAAATAAATGGGAGCCATTCTATCCGATCAATGCCGGCCTTTTTACACCTGGAAAATGAGTCAGAGTGTTTCATCTTTTGTTCTTTTCGTTCTACCCGGCGGAGTGTTGGAAGAGGGCATCAAGCCTGGGTGAACGACTCTGCGGCAGATTTCGGAAGCAATACTGAGAGTACTAGGAACCCCGGTGAGTTGCAGCAGGGAGATGCGAATAGAATGGCAGTTAACCGAAGATTAACCGGTTCTGATCTATCATATGATAATTTCTATAACCCCATTTACTACAAGTTCGCAACATTTGTGATTCGGGACTGACTGGGTTGAGAGTGAGCAAGCACAGCACGCTGTTGATATCCAGAGCAGAAACAGTGACGTCCAGGGGGAAGCTGGCTCTAGAAATGATATCAGAGAGTAATCCTCCGCATGAGTACAATACATGTAGAAGATAGACAACTATCAAATGAATCCGGGAAAATCACAAGAGTTAAGGAAGGAAAATGAAGCTGGAAGTGCGGGGAGAACTGGAAATGCCGTTGCATTAACCTAGTCGAATCGAATGTGCATTTCCACCTCATCTACATGCTTGATGCCAGCCAGAAAGCAGGATACAAGAGCAATCCCTTTGGTTAAGCCATACATGGGGGGAATAAAAATACAATTATGTATTGTAGGGGGAAAATTGCAACGAATGCCATGTGTGAATAAAGGGGAAAATAAGATAAATAAGGGGAAAGGAGGGCAGAAAATCGTCGAGAGAGTAGTACTCTACATAAAGTAATCATAACCAGTATACGCGAGGGATTCAAGAGAGACGCGGAGCAATAAACTATAGGAGAGATAAAGAGAAAGAGGCGACGTTGGGAATGAATATAAAAAGAATGGAGAACTGGACAAAAATAGAAGAAATTATAAATGAGAATAAAACCAGCGTAGTTAGAAAGATAAAAGCATCAGCCAAGCCAACCGACCTCTTGCAATAGTGTAGAAGTGTGCGGGTGTTATTAAGGAAGAGCATAGTTAGCAAAGGAAACAGCTCAATTCCCATCCTGGCAAGGGAATTCTTTATCATGCCAAGAAAGAAAAAAAAAAATCGCGGTGAAGGGAAATTGGAATTCATTCTCAAAAGGAAAAATATGAAACAATCACAAAACACAATCAAAAGGATATAAGGATATCTATGCAAAAACAAAAGGTAGGATGCCGCTATAAAATTGGACCAGGGGAGAGATAATCATAAAAAACAAAATTGAACAGGAAAAAAATACCATCAATCCAAACTCCGGAGAACGCAGCCAGCATGTTCAAGCCAAAGAGAATGGAGAGACGGTGTGTCGTGACCAGGGAAGTTGCGAATTTGAATTTCTTTTTCATTTTATCTTTTATCTTTTATCTTTTATCTTTTAATTTTTTTTTTTTTTTTTCCCCTCTCTTTAATTACTTTTTGTTCATGACGATGGTTCTGCTTCTGCATCTTTAATTCCAGAGACGACGATGGACGGCGTTTCCGACGACCGTGGCAAATCATCGGGCATGGTTGAGCTGACCGGAGACCCTCCTTCAGTTCCCGCGGAATCAGGTGCTTTCGCCGGTGATGGAGGCCCACCAGCGTTATCGCCATCCTTGCTTCCATTAGTCACTGGTGTCCTCCTCCGTAGTCTCCGGTTGCGTCTAGCTTCTTCGGCAGTCTCTCTACGGCGCGCGCGATCGGCGGCGCCATCTTTATCGTTTCTAAGCCCCTGAAGCATGCTTGCAGCCCTATCAGCGATGTCCTCACCCTCAGATACTTGTGTTTCTTTCGCAGGAGACGTTGGATCATCTGTCGGGCTGCGTGGACTCAAGAGATCGCCGTTGGGGGTACTGCTAGCGTCCTCGACATCGCCTTCGGTGGCTTTTTCACCGGCTCCGTCAGACAAGTCTGGCATTTTCTGGCCGGACGCAACCCTGACCTGGTGGCGTTCTTTCAGTCGTGCACGACGCCGGCGATCACGCTGGTCGCGCGCCTGCGGTGCAGCGGCTCGCAGCTTCTCTAGTAGGGTATCCATGGCTCCGCTGGACGTCGGTGATTGTGCATCGGCATTCTCCGTACGGCCGTTGATAGCGGCCGCATTGTTACGCTTCCGTGCCAACGATGCATCCATTCGCCGCCGCGATTCTTCCCAAGACATATTCTTCTCCTTCGAATTCTATAGAACGGCAGGATGTGAGCGTTAGATTTCATCGACACAGGAAACATCCAACTCAGGGCATGAAAAAAGACCGAATACCATGGACAACAGAAAAAAGAAAGAGGGTTAAAGCAATAATAATACTCGAATGAACGTACCTTCCACTCCGTGACAAACGCGGCGAGCTTGCTGAAGAAGTCCCTTCTTGCATTGTCATCCGAGCTATTTTCGCCGTAGAAGACCATGATATCATCATATGTCTTCGACATTTCATCAAGATACAGCTGCATCTGTTCACCTTTACGTCTGGCATCCTTCATTGACCGTTGGACTACCTGATTGACCCGATCTTGTGGGTGGAATTTCTTCGGGTCACTCAGATTGCCGGAATCCAAGCTGGCCTGAACATTCTTGATTGTGCTGATATATGTTTGCGCTTCGGTCCGGAGCTGGTCCACGTTCACCTTTTGAACAGCGACGACACCACCAATCTCCTCCACGAAGCCTTCCCACTCCGGGTATTGGTTTCGCACAATCCGTTCTACCAGGTCAGCAAATGTCGATTCGTTCTTATCATCCTTAACCATAGCCAGGCGAGAAAGGGAGCTGAGCTTGAATCCAACAGCTTGTTTGTTTGCCCCATTCATGAAATTCCCAATGTCCAAAATCAGACCAAGAACGTTCATTAATGACACCGAATCACGGAGAGATTCACAAACACGAACGATTTCCTGTAGCTTTGCGGATAAATCGTCATAATCCGACTCGAAGGTGCGAGTTAGCTGAAGAGCGCGCATCCGTCCTCTCCAATAATGATTAAGCTCGACGGCAGTCTGAAGATAAATTTGATCCTCACGCGTGAGTTCACTCGGGTCTTGATCTCGGGGCGAGTTTGCCGCGTCAGGGCCCGTCCAATCTTTGCAGTAGGGCGCCATTGCCTTGGCAATGTTTTCTGGAACGCTGCAGAGTTCGTCCTTCTGCAAGAATTCCATTACAACATTATTGTTTACAATATCGGGATCGCAGTGGATGATTTTCCGCACAACCTCATCAGGTGAGAGCTCCGAAAATTTGGCCATTGAGATCTGAAACTTATGCATGAGAGAACCTGGTATGATTTGCTTCTTGTCTTTCTTTTTACCCGTGCCAGTTCCCAGAACCTTTGTCTCCTTGGCTCTAAATAGTCTCTCAACTTCGTCCAGAACGCCCTTCTTGGCGAGCTCGGTATATTTCTCTTCTTTCGCTTCAGGCGTGGGAGCATGCGCTGCCCAGACAGTTACTTGAGGAGAATCGACTTTCTCCCAATGCAGAGCCTTTAACTTCTTTTTCGGTCGAATGAACGGCAACCCAATAGTGGCTGCAGGAGCATCCGCAGGCAGGTACGTCTTCTTCCAGCTGCCTATGCTTGATCCAGCTCCTGGTCTTGGATCGTTTACTGCCAGGTCGTCGTGACGGCGGAGGGGGTCCACACATTCCTTTTTGACTTGGTGGGGTTCGGGCAGGACCCCTCATACCTGGTGGAGGGGGTGGGGGCGGTGGAGGACCTCCAACGCCTGGAGGTGGCGGCGGAGGAGGGGGAGGGCCACCCGCGCCGGGAGGAGGGGGCGGTGGTGGGGGAGGAGCACCAACACCTGGCGGAGGGGGTGGTGGCGGTGGAGGAGGGGGTGGGCCACCTATGCCGGGAGGAGGGGGCGGGGGTGGTGGAGGAGCGCCAACACCTGGCGGAGGGGGTGGAGGTGGGGGTGGTAGGCCAACACCTGGAGGAGGCGGTGGAGGAGGGGGTGGAGGAGGCAGCGGGCCACCAACTGCAGGAGGTGGCGGAGGTGGTGGAGGCGGTTTAGGAGTTGTAGTAGGCTCTGGCTTCGGCTTTTTACTTTCATCTTTCTCGTCATCACTTTCGTCAATCTTCTGTACCCTGGACGCAATTTCGCCCAACAATCCAGTCGCTTGCATAGGGTTCATGCGAGGCCGTTTGATCTCAACTAATCGCGGCCGTTCTACAACACCTTGCTCGTCACCATCCTCCTCACCAACGTCGGAAAGATGCTGCTCATCTTCAACGTCCTTCTTATTGGCGCCCTGACTTCGGTTCCGGGAAACAACGCCAAACGTGCTATTAGTGAAAGTTCGTTTCGTTTCCTCATCGAATCCACCAGCTGATCCGATGTCACCGCCATCCATTTGCTCGCGCAATTCGCGCAGCCTATCCGATTCCCCACCCTCCTCCCAAACTCTACCCTCAAGCTTGAATTGCGTCTTGGTTCGCTCCAGTTGTTTCTCGAGACGACTCATAAGTTTTTCACGATCGAGAATGCCATTCATCTGAGCCGGATCTGTGTCGCCAAGAATCTCTTGTCCCGCTTTCTGTGCTTTGGAGGCCGCAACTTCCTGTGCGTCACGAAGCATAAGATACAATTCGCGTGTCTCCAACTCATTCCGCTGCAATTCCTGACTCCGTAGTCGCTGAAGATCCTCCAGTTCTGCCTTCAAGGCATCCTTCTGTCGTGACTGGAGATTAATGATATCCGTTTGCTCTTCAATCTGCTTCTGGAGCTTTTTAACTAGCCCGTCAGCACCAAGCTCAAGCTGTGCCCTCACCTCGTCTCTCTCGGCAATGGCGGCGTCTGCAATCTGCCGCGCTTCAAGAGACTCATCGAATGCGCGCCTTGCCTCTGCGTCTGTATGTAGTTTATCAAGCAAGCTCTGGACCGTAAAATTTAAACTTTGCTTCAGATCTAAATCTGGAAGCCGACGATCCATGGCCACATAACTAAGCATGGCATCCACGAGTTGGAACATTCTCACTCCATCCTCCCCAGAGTTCTCTCGGATTAGCAGTAAGTGCTGCATTGCAGAAAGGAAGTAATCCTGTGAACGGCCATCCTTCATCTTAGCCGCTATCGCATTCGTAATCTGGACCGGGTCGTTCATATCAGTAACTTCCCCTTCGATGCTATCTTTCATACTACTATTCTCCCGCTGGAGAAGATCTTCATAATCAATGGCTTCATTTTCTCGGTACTTTTCAATTTGTTTGTCGATAGCGTCATACTGGAATTCTTCCATTTTCCCCAGCAGTCGCTTTATCCCGCAAGAGGTGAACTGTGCCCTGATATGGCAGCGAAGCTGCAGATCATGCTCTGCTGCGTCGACGATCATATTGATCAAGAACATGGTAAAGAGCGCATACTCCATCAACAAGTTCTCCATGCCTATGCCTCCACTTCGAAATTCTTCGCTGGCACCAACAAGGCTTCCCATTTTCCCTCGTCCGTCGATAGTAACCTCGACAATGCGCATCCAGGCATCGAAACGACCAGTCTCTCCTTGCATGTTTTTAACAGTGTCCATTGCTTGGAGAACCTTCTGATGGCCCTTGCCATCAGCCCAATGACAAAGGAACGTCAATATTTCGCTGACCATTTTGCGTGTGGTCAGACGTGGAGATATTAACGAACTGGCGAGTGCGATAATGACTTGTTGATGCTCCAGAGCATTGTCAGCGCCATATTTATTATTCATTAATGCCTTGAGGCATTTCGCGATATCATATTCGCGATCGAGGTCCCTGTCGCCGGATGCCGATGAAGCTGGAGCTGGTCCAGAGGCTTTCCGTCGATTAATTTTGATAAGGACGCTTGTCAGGGCAATAGGTCCTTGGGCTTCCACAAATGATTTTACCCAGCTGGAGCATGCCACAGTTAGTAAAAAACAACAAGTAGAAGGGAGGGGGTATATATCAAGTTTACATTATTGGTTGCGTCCGCAAACTAACACTGAGACTTTGTAACTGTTTTGTATTGATCGAATCATCCATTACCTTTTTCACATACCACTCCGGGCTCCCTTCTTCGTCTGCTCTTGAGAGCAGGCCTGCGGTGCCATCGGCAGAGCCATATGTGAGCCGAGCATTTTGCTTTCTCTTTTGCTCCCCCTGCCATTGCGTCAGACGGTCCTGGTGCACTAGAGTCCACTTCTTGGAGGCTGGGTATGCGAGCATCTGTCTCTTCGCTTGCTCCGGTAGGTTCTGCCACCCTCTCTTGATCATCAGTTCGTAGAACATTTGGTCAACGATTCTATCATCTTTCGGTCGATTCATGCTTCCGTCGGCAGAAACTGTCAACGAGGATGAGGGACTGGTAGAGGAGTATTGCGCTTGTGTTGTGGAGGAGTATCTGGGTGCTGATGACGCGGAGGGTAGCGCATATCGTTCATTAGACTGGGATGTGTACGGACGGGAGGAAGTGTCAATGGAGGTTTGAGTGGAGCCTCGCGTGGCGGATGACATAGATGAGTAAATGCTATTCTGGTCTAGGGATGTGCGGGAATTTGTCGACGAGTCGGGCGTCGAGTAGGAAGGGTAGCCGTTTCCTGGCCCACCCCATTGCTGGTATTTGGGTCCCTTGTCCCCCGTCTGGCCTGCAGCCATTGTTGTATTGGCACTCGGCGGAGGCCTTGGGCCGCCCGGGTGGGATGACCCAGTAGATGGCACTTGGCCATTCCACGACGGATACTGGTGGTGGTCAAATCCCGGCTTATTTAGGTGATGGGGAGACGGCTCCTTTCGTGGTTGCTGGTCTACTTTCGGGAGGTAATCAACGGGGATCGGTGATTTGGGGTCTGGCGCGACGCTATCGTAAGGGATAGCGGTGATAATACCAGACGACATTCCGAAGCCTTCTTGGTCAAAAGGTACGTCCACCGAGAGTACGGATTCGCGCTTGGAATGCCGGGAGGAGCGTGATCCCGACGCAGAGCCGCTAGCCCCAAACACCTCCAGACCACCGTTGCCTTCCAACCGGGTATCTGGGGGACGATCCTTATGTAATTTTCTTCCGAAAAACGATTTGCCCGCTGACGACTGTCTAGACTTATCGGAGGCAGTATGGGGAGGCGGCATTTCGACAAGTGGTGTAAGATGTGGTTAAGCAGGAGTAAATCTGCGACATTAAGCAGGACTTGGCAGCAAAGCTACTGCCAGTGAATATGCCCCCCCTGCAGTTTCAATAAGTAAAAAAAAAGAAAGAAAAAGAAAAAGAAAAAGAAACAGAAAAAGGACGTTTAGTTCTAGAAGCGCATGCGTTTATATGTGCAGTCGTTGTGTTCTAACGGAGTTCGGTGTCATCTACAGCGCCCAGAACCCCCAGCTCTTTGCAGCTTTGCTGCGAACTTGTTCCGTTCTTCCTCCGGAGTAGTCAAGCACACACAAGTTATCGTCACGCTGGCGGGACATGAATGGCGGGGAGGACGATTTGGTAGACGCTAGTTCAGGCTCGGATACGGTGGTGGTGGTGGTATCTTCATTCGTATTTGATCTCGATGTCTTAAAAATGCCGCGATGTGTTTGATGCGTCTGCTGATCGCAACAAGTTGGTTGGGATGTTCGCACCTAAAACAGGGTGAGAGCTAGGGGCATCAGCAAGGCGGGATGAAGAAATCAGGAATCCACGCAGATGGTGGCTTGTTGTCCCCCAAAATGCGTCGGCAACGAACAAACAGGTTCAGTTATCAAGATATCAAAAGGGGGGGGTCTGGCTTGTGTCCACGCCCAGGCCAGAGGAACCTTGGTTAAGGGGGAAGGCACGTGATGGGTTCGTCGGCCGATAAGATAATCCGGCTCCTGTCAGCTTCCATGACGAAGCCACTCAACAACGACATACGGGGCATTAAAACATACCTACTCTTGCATTCCTCAGTGCAGCATCGACCATCAGAACTCAAAGGGAGACCAGATAGAACCAGCGGCATGCGCTCATTACCGGTTTCGCATAATCGTCGCTATTCTTTGTTGTTGCCAGCCTGAGGATAAGTAAGGCTTGAAAGTTGAAACCTAGCCAAAACAACACCCCTGGAACCTTCCTCCGTATTTGCGCGCTGCGTTTGTACTCTATTCTCCACCATTGCGCTCTCTATTTTACAAATAACTGCCTAGCTTATTTATATATGGTCTCGCAATAATGGCGGGTTCGCTGGACATAGCGAAGGTTCGTCCCGATTACCACAAGAAAAGTAATGTGTACTGGTACAAAATAACATCACATCACTAATCCCATACCCATAATGAACCAATATGTATAGACCCTCCTATTCCCCGCCCTAATCTCTCTCGCCGTCTACCTCCTCCTCTCCTTCTTAATAATCCCCTTCATCCGCCGCTATCGACAAAGATACGCCCAGTACCTGCCCCTCCACACAGTCTCCGCGCACGCTTCCACGCTGCGCGAACGTGCCTCCGACGCACTAATGCACTTCCTGCTCCCATCCTCCTGGCGACAGCGGCATATATTTGGCGCACAGGATGGAGAGGGCAGCGTCTTTGATGACGAAGAGGGCGAGGATATGGTTGGGTTCGAGATGGATGCGTCGTCGAGGCGCGAGGCGCTGGAACAACAGCGGAGAATTGGTAATAACCATCATAGCGGCCGCGGCAGTGTGGAAACGGACCGGCGACTGAGTCGGGATCTTGAGGAAGGGTTTATGGACGATAGTGATGAGGAGGAGGAGGAGGAGGAGGGAGGGGATGAAAGGCGGGCTTGAGTCGTTGGTGGTGGTAGCTGACATTGCGGTTTAGCGGTTTAGAGAAAAAAAAAACCCCCTTTGTTTATGTATTCATTTATTTTCTTTATCTATTGACAACCCTTTTTGGCGCCTACTTCTGGACGGAATAATATCTTCTTTTTCGCCATACTCGTGCTCATTTTTTAAAATAATGCTTTGACATATCACGAGCGGTTTACCTTTTTTTTTTTTTTTTTGTGGGGGGGGGGGGGTTTATGTCGCTTACCCGGTTTATTGGTGCTTGTTTTTTTTATTTTTTATTATTAGGACAGGCGCAATTTAGGGCCTGTGCATGGATGAATGTTGGAATGTCCTGCGAGCCCTGCTGAACGGATCAAAATACATGCCAATATCTCCCATGATGGAAACCGATGCCCGCTGCTTTAAAGAGCAGAGTCCGATTATTACCCGAGGAAGAATGTCATAATATCGTATGCGAAAGAAGACTCCTGCGAAGAACTCAAAGACCAAGTCAAAATCAAAAGAAAAAGACAAAGAAACAGAAAAAGAAAAGATCTATATCCCTGTCATGAATTCTCCCTAGCCCACAGCGTTCTCCCAAGGTCCCTCCCTCCCTTACAACCTATTCTATCCAGCCAACAATAGGTTGTAGGTGGTATCCCTTCCTCAGAGCAACCAGGTCGAGTTGGAAATATAAATAATTCTTGATCCCTTCTTTATCAATTGATTATTCGAGAAGAGGGAGTGGATATGCAAATGGAAAAAGAACTTACTCCCGGCTGACACAATGTGGGGGACAGAGACAGATGTGGGCAAGATAAGTTACGGAGGGAGGTTTCGTAACAATTGCTTTCTATATATGTTTAGATATTGAAATATTTGCAGAATAGAGATGCAATATTAATATGGGGATATTCAAAGCTATGGATCCCTTACCTCGATATCTACACCTGACTTATCACCAGGAGAATTATCCAAGAGCAGCGACTTTTACCCTGAACGGGAAAGACTAGACTTTCCCCCGCACGAACCCCGCATTAACTTATGTCATCACCACTTCCCCTCACCTCACCTCCTCACCTCCTCACCTCCTCACCTCCTCACCTCCTCATACAAGATCTCAGACAATCAATCAATCAATCCATCCATCCATCCATCCATCCTGGGACGGGGGGATTCCAGCCATCCGCTGCACTGAGTGTTCTCCTCTCCAGCAACGGAGGGGACCGAGGGAGGAAAGCGGGGGGGGCAAGGGGCCAGCCATACAGCGTAGTATTGCTGATACAGATAGTTTAGTCTATACAAGGGGGTGCACAAAAGGGGCCAAAAGGGGCCAAGAGGGGCCAAAAGGGAATGGATATGAATGATATCTCGAACTGATTTGATGCAATGTACTGCACGGGATCGGCATATATTTCCCAGTCATGGAATGGAATGAACAACCCTTCAGTTCTTCTCCCCCCCCTTAACCTATGTATATAATCAAATCAATCAATCAATCAATCAATCAATCTTCCCTGCGAATCTGTTCTATCCGCAACCAAACCTGGACAAATCACCGCGCCCAGGCGGACGAGGGAGAACTGAAGGACTGGAGGACCCTGTTTCGGAGGAATGGAGTCGAATAATCCAATCCACTCCAGGCCAGCAAATAACTAACGTCTTTGCTTCCCGTCCTGCTGGCGCGGTTTGCCCGGTCCAGAGCCAATCCTTGGAATTCTTGCTCGTTGAGTGAGTGGGGCAGTAGTCGGGGGGTGGGAGAGAGTTCTTTTTCTAGCATGGGATAATGAGTTGGATGCGGCGGATATCATAGGAGTCTGTCTGTGCAATAGTTACGAGAGGTGCTTCATGTGGGGGTGGGCACTAGAATATATAGGTGTAACACTCCTCCTCCTCCTACTGTTCTTCTTCTTCTTCTTCTTCTTCTTTTTCTTCTTGCCTAGATGCTTGTCTAATATATAAACTGGGCAAACCTCCCAGTTTTCTTTGCTTTTTCGTCTCTCATTGCTTGCCCAGGTAATCTCTACCGTGATCAAGTTGTTTTACCCCGCCTGCAACTATCAAGGTTCCATCTGCTATACTACGCTATACACCCGCGACTCTCATACTCGAATCAGTCAAATACATCATATTCAAAGGTCCGTCCTGTCGCATCCGTGGCTAGCCTGACTAAGCACAACACTCCCCCCTCTCCCCCCTCCCCTCCCCTCCCCTCCCCTCCCCTCCCCGCCCCGCTGCTTATTCAAAATCTTACTCAACACAACATCTATCAACGCAGCAACGCGACTCATTCCTCCTCCCATCTCAGCTCGTTGAAAAGAAGTAAAAGATCGCCTATCTCTTCTTTCAAATCCGCCCTGAAGCAGCCACAATGGTATTTCTCCGCTCTTTATCCCGCCATCTCTCCCGCACTGTCCCCGTCCCCGTCCTCGCGGGTCGCGGTGTTGTTCCCTGCACCTCCTCCGCTGCGTTCCCTTGCAGCAATGCTCAGCTATACGGGCTGTCGTCCCCTTTGCCACCATTGACCGGAGTGAGAACACTGACCGCGAGTCCGAAACTGCAGGGTAAAGTACTCTTGGTTTTGTATGATGTAAGTTGATCCCCCCCCCCCCCCGGGGCTTTTTTTTTTTTTTTTTATGTCCTTTTCTCAGTTATGTTTGCGGGCGCTTGGACATCTTGTTCACACTCCTGAGAGTCTCAGCCATTGTATCTGGAACTTGTGGAATTTCATTTCTAATATGAGTTACAGGGAGGACAACATGCGAAGGACCAGCCTGGTTTGCTCGGAACGACTGAGAACGAGCTGGGCCTGAGGAAGTGGTTGGAAGAGAAGGGCCATACCCTTGTAACCACCTCTGACAAAGAAGGTGCCAACTCTAAATTCGACCAGGAGCTTGTCGATGCTGAGGTTATCATCACTACCCCGTACGTTATAAAATGCAAAATGCAAACACCACCCAGCATCAAGCTCCAATCCCCTAGAGAAGATGGCAGTCTGGCCTTACCTCCCTTTTTTTTTTGTCCATATCCATATCCATATTCATCTAATTCGTGACTCTATCCCAGATTCCACCCAGGATATCTGACCGCAGAACGCCTGGCTAAAGCCAAGAACCTGAAACTGGCCGTCACGGCCGGTGTGGGATCCGACCACGTCGACCTGAACGCCGCCAACAAGACGAATGGCGGCATCACCGTTGCCGAAGTGACGGGCTGCAATGTCGTCTCCGTCGCCGAGCACGTCGTCATGACCATTCTCGTCCTGGTCCGCAACTTTGTCCCTTCACACGAGCAGGTTGCCAGCGGCGATTGGAACGTCGCCGCCGTGGCGAAGAACGAGTATGACCTCGAGGGAAAAGTCGTCGGCACCGTTGCCGTGGGCCGTATTGGCGAGCGTGTCCTGCGACGACTGAAGCCGTTTGACTGCAAGGAGCTGCTGTACTATGATTACCAGCCGCTGACGCCAGAGGTCGAGAAGGAGATCGGATGCCGCCGCGTGGAGAATCTGGAGGAAATGCTCGCGCAGTGTGATGTTGTCACCATCAACTGCCCCCTGCACGAGAAGACTCGCGGCTTGTTTAACAAAGACCTCATCTCGAAGATGAAGAAGGGTATGTCTTTATCCCCCACCCCCCAAACCAAAAACAAGAAGAACTAATGAACCCCCCCCCCACCCCCACCCCCCAGGCTCCTGGCTCATCAACACCGCCCGCGGCGCCATCGTCGTCAAAGAAGACGTCGCCGACGCCATCAAATCCGGCCATCTGCGCGGCTACGGCGGCGACGTGTGGTTCCCGCAGCCCGCGCCCAAGGACCATCCGCTGCGCTACGTCCAGGGGCCCTGGGGCGGCGGAAACGCGATGGTGCCGCACATGTCCGGCAGCTCCATCGATGCGCAGGTGCGCTACGCGGAGGGCACGAAGGCGATTCTCGAGTCGTATTTCTCCGGCAGGCATGATTATCGGCCGGAGGATTTGATTGTGCATGCGGGGGATTATGCGACGAAGTCGTATGGGCAGAGGAAGTAGGGGGGGATTGTGTGAGGCTGTGTTTTTGAACATAACTGATATAGGGAGTGAGAAGTGAAATTTTTCTATTTTTTTTTTTTTTTTTTTTTTTTTTTTTTTTTTTTTTTTTTTCCCTATTAATGACATGATAAATATGATATTTAAAGAAGTAGCAGAATTTCTCTCTTTCTTTTTCTTTTCTTTCTTTTTTCTTTTTTCTTTTTTTTTTCTTTTTTTTTTTTTTTTTTGCTATTCTCCTCCCTTTATTTTTATTTAACAAAAGAGAGAGATCAAACTACGGACAGAGTTACTGTGTCAAACAATTTCACCGAGAGGAAGCTTATGAAGCTATAAGTAGTTATAAAAAATTCACAGAGCTCAATCACCATCAGCCTTTTACTAGTAGTTAAGAAAATCATTTCATGCATATATATCAGCAGATAAAATGATTGAATTATCTCTGATGAATAAACATAAATATTGATACTTAAGTACTTACAGCTCTGTATCTAGCTAGAATCTAGATTTGACAAGAATAGAATCACTCTTGCTAACCGTTTATATGATAATTCATCAGATAAACAAGTTATGCAATCTGCAGTCCACAGTATGGAGAATATAGAGTTGAATTAGTGAAACAGCTCTCAGTATAATCTTTTCAGCAGCTCCATACCATACCATATCATACATACCCATACCTGCTACTCTCTCACAGTTTATCTCGGCCAAAATCTCCTCATGCTATGCTCGCAGACTTCATACCCAGTCAGCCAAGCACACTCTAAAACACCCAAGACCAAGCAAGGGCAAGACAAACTCGTATTCCGCGAAAGGAAGAGTAACCAACCATTGACCTTCGAAACCGCTTACCCGCTAACAACCGTTGTTACAGCCACCCTAACCTCACCCTTCAGTTAACTTGTCACTCAATACTGCCGTCAATTGAGCTGGTCACAGTACTATGTAGTAGTCGATTGAAAAGCGAATACGCTGGCAGTGAGTCGGGTGACATAAATAGTTATTCTCTGGCGCAGAGGATCTGCAGTATCTCGTACTCTGTAGTTAACTACTGTACTAGCTAGTTACCTATTTTATATACGGATGATAAGGAGCAAGGCGAAGCGCTTGTCGATCACGAGACTTAATTAGTTATCCTCATAGCGTGCGTTTGAATGTCGCAGAGCGCTGGTGATTTTTATAGTTCTTTTTTATATGTTAGAGGGGATACCCCGAATTCTGGGGCTGGCTGTCCCTACTTGATATTTTTGATGACGGCATATTTTTTGGAGAGAAACTCTTACTCTTAACTTACTCACTCCTTCAATCAGCCAGTCCCCAGCATGTCTAATGATGATTTCGACACCAGATATGGCTTCTCACCAACTCCCACTTCCTTTATATATCCTTCGCCAACCAAAACCACCAGGATGTATGTACTGTACATACATACACATACCTTCCCCCCTGAAATCCCAAAATTCCCTTCCCAGAATCCTTCTAACTAACACGCAATCCACCCAGGTGCAAAGACAAATTCGGAAACCGCCACAGGTGTCCCGACAAAAGCCTCGTCGCGCCCCTCGTCGGCGTGCTCGTCGGCCTCTTAGTGCTGGTGGTGTGCGTGTTGCCCAACAATAATATCTTTACATATTTTTGTTTTTGTCTTTTCTTTTCTTTTTTTTTTTTTTTTCCTTTTGCCAATACCCCACCCTTATTCCCCCCCACAGCGCTGATGACAGTCTTGCACACACACACACAACCCTTATTAGATGCATTGTATTCCTCATGCGCCACAAGCGGGGGAGGAAGCGTGTAGACACCGACGCCTCTGCTCCTCTCGCTCAGGGGGTCGATCAGCCGTCATCATCGCCGTCGTCGCCGCCGCCGTATAGCGCGCCAGTATCGCATTGGGGTCCGAGGCTGGCCCAGCATGGACATATTGAGATGCAGAGGCCGGGGAATGTATATCACGGCGGCCCGTAAGGGGGGGGGGTTTGTTGGAGTGGAGTGGGATGGGTGATTTTCATGAGGAGTTTAATTTACTCTTATGGGTTTGCTTATGTTATTTTTTTTTTTTGTCGGCAAATGCTCTCTAGCTATGGACATATGCGGAAATGATACCCCCCCTGGTGCTTTTTGAAGGTTTTGCAGAAAGGTAAGATGGTTGGGATGCGGGGGATATAAATGTAGGTTTGAAGATGTGGTGCTGGGCTGGGAATAATGACACTGTTATTTATTGTATATAACTTCAAGAGTGATAAACCAGTGGAGGATTTCTTAAAATTTTACCTTGACGCATCATTCTTCTCACAACGGAAATGCGTATATATATATATATATATATATATATCATTTTGCTCATATTAGCACATTGCATGATCTAGTCATCCCCATCCACATTTGCACAAGGAAGTCTTAATCAAGCGAGCGATGAAATGAAACTCTCTAATAAAATTGCCATCCAGTTCGTGAAATCTCCAAGATGGACTTCTTCCTCAAGGTCAGACAAGACATATCACGGTGGATTAACTCTCGGGTGGCTGCACTACGCTAATTTGAGGATAAATCAGCCCTAAATCGGCTAACGACAGCCTCGGTGAAGCCTCCAAACACGGCCCTGCCGCCGCAACCTTGCAAGAAAGTTTACGCAGTAACGTTATGTGATAATCGGATTTTTTTTTCTTTTTCTTCTTTTTCTATGGAATGTGTCGCTTAATTTTATTCCCATTGATCTTTACCCTACAAGCATTGTCATCAGTAGTTACTCTGTAATGCTCTAGCTATTTTGCTCCATGTGGCTCTAATACTTGATGCTGTGGGCACAGTGCAAGGTAGAACCCATATCTAGGTCCCCTGCATTCTGGCGCATTGGATTTAAGGAAATATTCCTTCAGGCTTCTTCCATTAAGCTGCTGCAATACAATGCATAGGTCAATATACAATGACTTCTGTAAGAGCTAGTACTATAGGTTAAAGCCCGATATACCCCAGAATTTCATAATCATGGCAATGAGGGAATTGTAGCAAAGAAAATACATGGCGAATAAAATAGTACTACTAATGCAATGTTCCAAGTAATGAAAGCTGGAACAAACTTGAATCAAGAAAGAAAGAAAAATTGAACTGAGAATACGAGGGCTAGGCCATGCAGTGCCAATGCTGCAAGTGACAGTTTTTCACCCTTGTTTTCTCTGTATGAGAATTAATGTGGCCTGAGTGACAGTGTTCTTCAAGGCCTATGCCAAAAGGTACGTTTGTAGAAATCCGCATCTTCCATTATTTAGAGGTACGCAGCGTCTGTTGGTGTGGTCGTGGTATCCGCATGCCGCTAGGTTAAGTTACTTTGAAGTGCTCAATTAAATAGTTAGTTAGTTACCGAGCAATCCATCCTTGTTGATTTTCCAGCAAGTATCCTCCCAACCAAGATCACATTCACAAAACCAAACAAAATTAACAACATGTCTACTCATCGCCGGCAAATTTATTTCAATCCAACAGTCGAGAAAACCAGTGGAAATACACCTTCCAATAACGCGTTGAAATTCCATCAATCTCTACCCCACTATAGCCGGACCCCGCTTGTCCCTCTTAATGATCTTGCTCGGGAGCTGGGGATTACAGGAATCTATGTCAAAGATGAAAGCGATCGCTTGTGTCTTCCATCTTTCAAAATCCTAGGCGCATCATGGGGAACATTTCGCGCAATTGTGGCAAAGACTAACGTTTCCCCTGAGACTAGCCTGGCGGACCTTTCAGACACAGCTAGAGAACAATCAATTACTTTGTACGCAGCCACTGACGGGAATCATGGAAGAGCTGTTGCATTCATGGCAAAGTTGCTACGGATTCAAGCGAGGATTTACGTCCCTGCATTACTGGACGAAGCTACAAAAACGCTGATATCTAACGAAGGAGCCAAAGTGATCTCAGTTTCCGGTACTTACGACAAGGCGGTTCGACTGGCTTCGGAAGCTGCCAGTTCTGTGTCTGGTGGACTTCTCATTCAAGACACTGCTTTTGACGGTTACGAGGAAATCCCTCCGTGGATCATAGAGGGATACTCTACTATGCTCCACGAAATCGATTCCCAGCTCGGGGGAAAAAATGTCAAACCAACGATGGTTGTCACCCCTGTGGGGGTCGGGTCTCTCGCAGAGGCCGTCGTTTCTCATTTCAAGTCACCAGGCCACCAGAGTACTGTAATGGTCGTTGAACCTGACACAGCGGCGTGCCTACACAAAAGCCTGAGGCTAGGGAAATGTGTTCCACTCGATACCTCGCGTACGATCATGAATGGCTTGGATTGTGGCACTGTTTCTTCGACCGCATGGCCAATCCTCCAAGCTGGTGTCGACGTTAGCGTGACCATCTCTGATTTCGAAGCACATCAAGCGGTTCGGTATTTGGAGTCACAGAATATACGAGCTGGACCCTGTGGTGCAGCTGGCATAGCTGCTCTGCGTCGCTTGGGCAGCGTCCGACCACTCGACCCGTCTACAGTTGCCGTTCTCCTATGTACTGAAGGATCACGACCCTATCCAACCCCCTTCGATGTATCCGTCGAAGACCCTATTGCTCTCTCAGAGTTGCTACATGAGATTCAATCACCCAGTCCATCTTCTTCCCAAGCTCCTGAGAGAGAAAAGGCAAAACTTGAGGACTATATTGCAGCGTGGTTGGAACATCGGGATCTAGACATTCGTCAACTCCACAATATTACCAGTTTGGGCCTGGGAAGTGATAAGCTGGCTAGCATTGCAACGTCTATGGTTTCTCTACTTCGTCCAAAAGCGTTAGACACCTTTCCACCCTCCAGTACAGATCGACAATAATCAATTCTTTTTTTTTGCTGGTTATTTTTCAGTTTGTAAATAATATTTAGTATTTTTCTTTCTGTTTCAATGAGTGAAAATTGGAATTAATATTAGAGTGATGCATCTAGGCTCTGGCTTCATTGGCCCTATGGAAATATCTGAAACCGTTGAATCCTTCTGAAGGAGATAACAGCAAGGGTGGGTGTTATCGACTCGCAAAGTGTGGTCTTCCAGGCTCGAGAAGAGATACTATCTCCTGCTATTGTCAAACCTGGGTATGAGTGGACAAATGTATTGAAGCGTAGGGTCTCTCTACCTGAAAGGAGGTATTAACTTATGAAGATCAATTAATTCCATATAGAGATAAAAAGCTTTCCTCAGAGATCGTAGAAGCGCTGAGTACAAGTGAGATGCTACTGTTAAACAAAGGAAGACCTTGAACTAAATGAAAGATTGAAGAATCGTCTACCAGAACAGCGACTTTCACGATATTTTTCCACTGTGAGAGCAGAAAGGCTGCAATATTTATTTTTCCGACTAGGGCTTGGTTTGAAGCCTGGATGACTGTTATAACTACGGCATCTGAACCAGCGCTCCTAAGTTACTAAAGGGGTTGATATTGTGAAAATGGTTGGATGGCTCGGCCAGAGCAGGTAGGTAAACGTGAGTTTATGGCTCTAGGTTGCTGTCCCTTCTACAGTCAAAGCGTCAAGAACAGAAATTGAAGTGGCCCAGATTATCCGATCTTATTAGGGCTAGCTACAAACTTCCTATTTGGGTTTAGTGTCATCAACCTTAACTTCAAACCTCCAACGTTGCTTCAACAGATGCAGTTTCATCCCGCATGAATAATTGTGACGGCGACAAGCTTGAGGAGCAAGATCTTTCCCTTCTGCCCACATAGGTAATGGAGTATCCTTCCAGACGATCCCAAGGATTTAATTCTTGTTTTCACAATTCCCAATACGCCGAACATGTCTGGTTTAGACACCTCTACTCGGATTCGCCCCTGAGGATGCATCTATTTCATATCTTCTTTGGATGCATTTGGAATGATTTCTAACCCAGGATGATATCCCCAGGGGTAGCTGCGCTCTGACCTAGAACTACCCCCATGTTAGCGGGACTATTCCGAATTCTATAGATTGGTATCCAGCAAACTCGTGCTGAAACTGTGTGTGCTTGAGAAATGCCATTAATCAGGGAGCTCAAAGCCTTATGGCCTCCAGACTCACCAAAGTTTGACATGCATGCGTAATAGCGCTGGAGTGCAGGAGAGAACTTGTCATAACCTTCTGGTAGTTCGATGTGTTAACTTCTGTCCCCCATTTCTAGTTTATCCCCCTCTTACCATGATCAGGAGAGGTTGGATTCCTACGGAAGTATGTTCTTTGGCAGGTGACCAGGATCTGAAGCCACTATTGTGAGAAGGCCCTGGTAATCTCAGCCCTCAGAATCACTGAACCTATCTTCAACTAAGTTCACTGTTTTCCCCCCATCTTTTCTTGATTTTCATCCTGTCCTTCTTTATTCTTTCCACTTTGTCGCTCCTACGACTCCATAGCTGGATATCTCTTTATCGTTTATTTGGTTGCCATCTATTCTCTCCAACGGTCCCAAGCTGGCGAATCGGAACATTGGCATGCGACAGCCGGTATATTCTGGTGATCAGCAAGATGACCTTGGGAATGGTCTTAGCGATTGGTTGGGAAATCCGATGAACCAGTTCAGCAATGGAGCCAATTCTGGCGGAGAACCTGGAAGAAGCAATATTTTCGCGAATAATTTGGCTACTTTCATATTTTTGAAATTCAATATTCAGAGCCGCGCTTCTATTATCATTACGGCTTCATTCAGCGTGACAGCCTCGACTTTCGTGATACTGAGCATAATATATGGTAGCTGGCAGTTATCAAAGGGAGCCCATCGACGCCGGATCAGGTTAGGAACTCTGAACTTTGACTCTCCCCCCCCTACAGACTGATTATGCTCATGTAGAATGTTCAGGAGACGCTTCGAATTTTTACGTCACGTCCCTCCCACCAATATTATTCCATTAATGTTTTCGTTTGCGTCGATTTTACAAAGTTCGATATTGATAGGTGTTCAAAGCACGGGTCTCCAAAACGTATCTGCAGACGGATGTTTAGCTTCTTCACAAATTACTTGGACAGGTAGCTATTGTTATTCTGGAAGGTTTTGAGGCACAAAACTAATTCTTGCTTGGCAGCTGCGTGGATTATCGGCTACGTTGTATTGACATTTACTGCGAACGCAGTCTATCAAAGTTTTCGGTCCTTTCAATCTGCTGTTACTGGGCGAAGGAGTTCGTTGATTTGCTGGGTGGTCGTAACTATTATGCTTCTGTTGACATGGATACCTTCCAAAATTAGGCAGAGGGAAAATGACAGGTGCTTGGCAACTCTATTACAATGGACCACGCGCTGGTCTGATATCGGTCTAGCCTTGACAATAGGTCTGATTGTCTTGTTTATCGTGAACGGAGCCATTTTATCAGTGAAACTATGGAGGACGGCAAAGCTTGACACTCAGGATAGAATTGCCAAAAGCAGTATTGTCTATTACCTGGCTGGCACGACTATCATCTTTGTAAGTGCATCAATACACTTCCTCTCTTATAATGTGCATCTATTTGTCTAACAACAAAAAGACTTTGGTTCTTCCTTTCTGGATACAGGCTACTTTTTTGCGAGGCGTGAGCAACTTTTCGCTGTTGATGGGCTCTATAGCTTTGAATTTATTTGGCATTGTCTATGCCTTTATTTACCTCCTCTTTTGTGCAAATGGAAGGAACATAATGATCGGCCCAGTGGCCTCGACTTGGTTGAAGAAGCGTTCAAAACGCCATGATTCCACAGAACGTGCTCTAATACCAGAAATCAACCAACCTATTATTTGTGAGAACCGACGCGAATCATACCTCGAGAAAAAAGACTTTCTCGCTGGCGTCGAAGATGACCTCGAAGAGCCAAGGTTTCTAAAAACGAAGAACCCTAAGCCAGCTCCATTCAACCCAATCTCGACGCCACATCCACTGGTCTTACATTCCGGAAAACCGTCGGGCTATTCTTTTTTCCCCACCAAAGCCTCCTCCCGCAACACAAGACGATTTGTTCTGAACTCTGACGATAGCCACGAAGATATTCTAGCTCCACCTCGACCATCATACGCCCGCCATCGACGCTTCTCCTCTGATGGGAGTGCAGCCACAGTGCAGATTGGCCTTCGACTAAGCAACATTGCACTACCCGCCCATATTAAAAACCACAACTCATCAACGACGAGCTTGGGTAATGTTCCCATTCAGACTGGAACACCCATTCGTTCGTCGCCCATCGAAAACCGCAGTCCTGGAGTCGCAAGATCTAAAGGCTCACAGAAAGAGCTAGGGCCTTTAACCGGGTCTCTGACCGCACCCTCTGTAAACCAGAATAGCGGTTACCTTGCCCGAGTATCCCCGTTGAGGCAAAACCCACCTGGACTTGGAATTAGCCCTCCATTGTATTCCAGGCAGACACTTGTAACGAGAATACAGGAAGCCTCAACCAGCAAAAAAGATGTCCTTCCACCCGCACCGCTCCTGATTTTTAAGGGAGACAGCTATGCTCAGAACGAACGGTCCCCTTTAGCCCAATCCCCGTCTACATTTCCTACTCCGTCGCAGTCCACATGGCCGCGTCCTGGCCGACTATCCCTCCTACCAGACCAAACCTTCAAACAGCCTGCTCATTGGATTTAGTATGCGTTGAATGAAGCCACAATTCCACAATTGCCATTCATATATTGGCCGAATCCCAAATCTCGAACCCAAAATGAACTCTCTACCTAGAGACCCCACGGTTGAATCATTGACCCCTCAGCCGTACCCCATCAGGCACATCTAAAATAAACCTACATTACTTCACGACAATACCGCGTATCTTATTGCGGTTATCAACTCTTGCATCTACCATTTATTACTAGGCCTGCTGAGCCAGGTTCACTCTTCCTGGAGAATTCTGCCTGCTTTACTATTCCCCCTGTTGACTTTCCTTTATTAAGATGTTGTGTTTGGTTGCTCAATTCAAAAATTTTCAAGAAATGCCGGCAACAATGGCATAAGGCTATCCCACATCACCGTCATATTTTTATCATTTGTCTCTCTCTCCTTTTTTTTCTTAAGCATGCCCGCACGATTTCTTTATAACGCAGCACCCTCCGCCACCCTCCGCCACCCATTTCATAACCAACACACTTGACGAAATATACCCCCTTCCCTTACGTACAGTACCAACCTAGTCGCTTCTATTTTCATGTATTATGTATCACAGAATATATCCACTATGCGCCTCTTCATTCATGGCCCTCCCCGTCTCCAGCTAATCCCCCCCCCCCAACTGTGCTCTTTTATTCCCTTTATTTATATTATTATGTACACTTCGACCCGTGAGCTCCGTTTTCTTCACCATGCTACATATCCCAACAAACATGGGAGGAAACATGAAATTGAGAAATGCAGAGAGTTGTAAGAAATTATTGTTTTTTTTCAACAATATTGCTAAAATCCATTTGTGAACTGTCCCGAAACAAAATGGAAGTGATGTACATGTACATTCACTTTCTATAATCTTTAGGACTTATTCCACACCTAGCTGTTAGAACTTGCGCCTTACACAGCTCAGCGGACAGGAGGCAACATAAAGAAACCCGGTGCAGTTCATTGTTGTACTCTAAACTCAATTCATTTTCCTGGTTACATATAGGTAACTGTAGGCTGAATACAAGTACCGTCCTATCAGGCGTCTGAACACGGACACTACACAGCGGGTGGGAAAGTGGGGAACAATAAAAACTCGAGCTATTGATACGTAGAACGAAACCATACACATCGAGGCTTTTGAAATCGCCTTATTGATATGAAACCATGCGCGCTGGTAAGCTCTCCGCGTCCGGACAGATATATTCGTTCGAACAGTATTCGTATAAAATAAAATGAACGAGAGAGAAAAGTTCACATGGAATAAATGATTCTATATCTATATACGTAGTTATACATGAGATGGGAGAGAAAAAAAAAAGCCGAGGGGACTAGGGAATGATGGGTTGGTTTCCACCCCCAACAAGTCATAATATATTATACACGAATACTCCTTACACAACAATATAGTCATGGGGCATTATCCAAACCTGCCGCTCTGTGGTCTCCAAGAAAATATTGAAAAAATAAAAATAAAATAAAAAAAATAAAAAAAATAAAAAATAAAAAGGCAGACCCTCCTCGGGGTGGAGCCAGTTAGTTTCCTGTCCACAGTGAAGAGATAGCAAAGCCATCGTAAAGGCAAAATCAGCTCAAACAGCCCGATCAGAACACCACGTTGATAACTCTCCCACCACCAACGACAATAACTCGTTTCCTCTTATCCCAATCATTCCTCTCCTTCAGCCACAATTTTCCTTCGTCTGTTTCCAGAAGATGTGACAGAATCCAGGCCTTTTCTTCATCCGAAGAAACCTTTTTCGACGCAGAGTCACTGCCAGGTGGAGCAGGTATAGTTGTGCTGAAGCGAAGTTTTCCATTTACTTGCACTGCGACGGTTTTGCCGCCGCGAGCGCGAAGTGCTTGAACCTCGGGTGGCGAGAGGAGTGGAGCAGGCCAAGGTGAAGAAAAAATCGACGGGACTGTTTTGGCGGATGAAGGCGTAGTGGAGGTGTTTGGGTTTGAGCTATGGAGGTGTTCCCAGCATTCAGAGGCGAGTGCTGGGGTTATAGGGGCTAGAAGTCGGAGGAGAGAAGATAGCGCTGTGTAGAGGATAGTTTGTGAGGTTGGCGATGATGCCGTGGTTGGTAGTGGCGATGACGCCAGGGAATTTGTAAATTTGGTCAGGTTCGATATCACCGTGTTTAGACCGTAGGGCATCCCATCGAGACACTGGGAAACTGATGTAATCGCATCGTGCGCTACAAGTAGGATCGCGGATTCATCGTCGGATATCTTACTTAAGTCCGGTAGTCTGATGTCATTCAGGGACTTGAAAGATTCAGCGCTCAGAAACGAATGGCCTTCCAATGAAATGCGGGAATCTAATACAACGCGCCACAGGCGGTTGAACCACCGTTCCATGCCAACGATTTTAGATTCGTCCCACTCAAGAACTTCGCTGACAGGGGCAGAAAATAGAATATGTGCGCGGACTGCGTCAGAACCATAGGTATCGATGCAAGTGGTCGGGTCCACCCCATTATATTTGCTTTTCGACATCTTTTCAAAAGATACATTTGGGGTGGTCTGAGTGCTCTTGATCAGCGGAGCGTCGGGATTGGATATGTCAACCTCCGATGGCCGGAGGAAGCGGCCTGTAGAGGGGTCAGAGTATGTCTTGCCATGAACCATTCCCTGTGATAGCAACTTCAGGAAAGGTTCTGTAACCCCCGCGGGGCCTGGCAACTCCTTGGGAAACAATTCGGAAGTAGCTAGAAATTTATATATAAACCGCGCGTATAGTAGGTGCAAGATTGCGTGCTCAATGCCTCCGATATAAATATCGACGGGATGGGCATGGGATGGGGAAAATGGTTCTGTTGGGTTCGCCGGGTCAAGGAATCGCAGGAAGTACCATGAAGAGTCGACAAACGTGTCCATTGTGTCAGTATCCCTTTTAGCAGCCTTACCGCAGCTAGGGCAATAAGTGTGAAGCCATTCTTCAGCTGACTCAAGTGGATTTCCGTGACTACCTCTCAAGCCTGCACCTTCAATGACTGGTAGTTCAACAGGGAGCTGATCTTTCGGAATGGGAACTGGGCCACATGAATGGCAATGGATAATAGGGATAGGGGCTCCCCAGTACCGCTGCCGACTGACTAACCAGTCCCTAAGCCGCCAACTTTCTGCGACGTCTGCAAAATTGCCTTGACTTTTCAAGTCTTCGACTATTTTTCTACCACCCTCTTCAGATGACATGCCACTGTAAGACCCGCAGGTATCAGCTAAAATACCATGGCCGGTAAATGGCTTCAGTTGCGCCTCTGGTAATTCTGCTGGTTCACTTGGTTGTGATGGCTTTTGCTTAACAACAAAAGACACCGGCTGGGATTCTGAGTTTTCGTTCCAAAATGCAAAATCTCGAGAATCATGGCCGGGTACACCCATGACCGCGCCGTCGCCGTACTCCCCTAAAACATACGGAGCAACGTAAACCGGAATTGAAGCCTGTAGCGAAGGATTTGCCTCAACCGAGCTAAGGGGGTTGACAGCCAAGACGCCCGGCAAGCGATAACCCGCTTTTGTATCTGGTGGGAGAGATACTGCGGAATCGAGAAAGGATTTCAGCTCAGGGTCGGAGCTTGCGATTTTCACCACCAAAGGATGAGTCATTGACAACGCAAGATACTGAACCCCATGAAGGGTGTCTGGTCGAGTTGTGAATACCTGAATATCGTAATTATCATCGGGGGCAGAAACGAGAAATTTTATTTGTGCTCCAAAAGACTTTCCCAGCCAGTGCCTTTGCATCGACAATACCCGCTCAGGCCAACCAGCCGCCAGTGAATCAAGGTCCTTCAGTAATGCTTCCTTGAAAGCTGTAATGCGGAAAAACCATTGCTTGAGCTCGACCTTTTCCACTTTCGCTCCAGATCTCCATGAGCATCCATTCGCGTCAACCTGTTGGTCCTACCGTGTCAGAAGATGGCATACTGTTGGATATTCAAGATGGTCGTACCTGCTCATTTGCTAAAACTGTTTTGTCAACTGGATCGTAATTGACTAACGCCTTTGCTTGATACGCCAGCCCTTTTTCATATAACATAAGGAATATGCGCTGCGTATGTTTATAGAATTCAGGCGAACATGTCATCAATTCCTACAGCACTCGCAAACAATTTGAAAACGTCAGTGAACCAGATACTCACAAGAATATCCTATATCATCAGGAGCTGACGAAACACAGTATATATTTATCATACCCTATCCCAGTCAAATCGTGCCCCAATCGCCCTCAGCTGTTCCTTCATATTGGCGATATTCTGCATGGTCCACCGCGCCGGATCAATTCCCCGCTCGATTGCCGCATTTTCCGCTGGAAGCCCAAACGCATCCCACCCCATAGGATGTAGCACATCATATCCTTTCATATGCTTGAACCGAGCCAATACGTCGGATATGGTGTAAACCCGCACATGGCCCATATGCAATGCGCCCGATGGATACGGGAACATTGAGAGGACATATGCCTTTTCCTTGCCATGGTTATTCACCAATTCAGATGTAGGATCACTCCGCCATTTGTCTTTCCATTTTCTGTCCACTGCCAACAGATCTAGTCTCCGCGAGGCGGTCGATGAAGCGCGAATCGCGGGACGGGCACGGAGCCCAGAGAAGAGGTATCGACCCCATTGCTGGGCGAGGGTTGCATGCCGGAAATTCATTTGGATCGACGTCGTGTCCCCATATCACCCTCTTCCTAGAAAATCACCGTCAGGCCATTTAAAACGAGTGTGATTTGGCGATGTGGCCCGCAATTCCGTTGACTTGATTGTTTATCCGTAAGTAACAGAATCTCCGAGCTCTGGTAAGGGTGAAATTCGGAGATACGCTAGGCTGCTTTGGGATTAGGGTATTCCCCTTGCTATCTGAGGTTTTACTGACGAAACCCTAACTGAACATCACCGAGAGTTATACAACGATGGCGCTGAGCTATTCATGGATGCCCCGTCGGTTTGACCTTTCGCTTCTGGTAGGTCTCACAGGTTTGGTGCTCGACATCATTTAAGCGAAGCTTGACTCAACATGTTCCATATACCCTCGTCCCCTCTTCTCCACCACCTACAACTACTCCGAGCTAGCAGCTACTCTACTGATAGATACAGGAGGGAAGGGATTCAGTTTGATAGGATGAGTTGATACAAAGGCTGGTCATTGGATTTTCTAGAAAATGATATTGACTCAGTGTATGATCATTGTCATAATCTTGAAGACATGCATCAACGAAAGCCTTGATTTTGAAATTTTCAAGCATGATCAGGTCTAAAATACAGGGAACATGGACCTAAAAACATTTGTAGCTTCCGGGACCTGTGCGCTAACATATGAGAAGCATAGAAAGTCTCAGCTGTCTATTTACCAGGGAGGAAGAGGTGGTATGGCATTCCGGATCCAAAATCTAGTTTTGGTCAGTAATAGGATTTCGTTACTCTTTCACGACAGTGTAAAGAGGGGAGTTAAAGGCAGCAGTGACGAAAAAGCATGCGAGATAATCATTCATAGCCATAACGGGCTGTTTGAGCAAATTGTCAAGGTGTGTTGATTTTCTCATGTCCCACTCACGGGTAACTTACTAACTTGGAGTACACTATATTCCGACTTGCGCTCACGGATCTCCACACAGACATATCCAATTTTCACATGGAAACAATCCGCAACTTAATCGGCGGGAACCGCCATCCGAGAGCTTATGCAATGCGATTACAAGGATGCTTCGAATTTTGTGTCACTGACCAGACAGCACGCACAGGTTTCCAGGTTGCTGTCAGGCTGAGTTTGAAGCAAAGCGTTTGTTTAGAGCCGCAAGTGGAACTCGGCAACCATGATCGTCGTGCTAGCCGGCCAGGAATGGCGCTGATCAACAACCTCGCCGACCGCCACGAGGTTGGACCCGCTGGCTGCGGAGTGGCTCCCTATGCCACTTCGGCTCACCAACTTCCCTCACAGTCTCCTGAGCCGGTTAGCATCGTGTGGCCTGAGTTGTTATTTGTTCATGTACTCTGTGCGGTACATATACATGTGCATTGGTGTACTTCATTTCTTCGCCAACGTGTTGAGGTGTGGTTGACTCAAATAACTACTTAGAGTTGTCTTCCCCACGATATCCTGGCGCACTGCCCTTTCCCAAGCTATGACACTACCACGGGAAACGTTCCGACAATTTTAGAACTCAGTCATCTTGAAGTTATACTATGCACTAATCTCCAAATCATTAGAAATTTCTGCCCACTCTTGGGAAGCAACCCCCTGACACGATTGGCCCCAGAGTCCAGTGACCATAAAATACATGTCCAATTCCTCAGACTTTAATAATGACTACCATATCTGAATCTAAATCTAAATCATATCTATTAATCTTAATCTACAGTACCTACCCTTCCACCCCTCTCACAGCCTCATAATCTCCCCATCCGCGCCAATCCCACCGCGAAAATGCTCAGAAATAACCCGACCTTCCAACACCGTCTCTTCAACAATCCCTTCTACATGTCTCGGCTCAACTCTTCCATACCAAATCCCTTTCCCAGCCAATGACATCGCCCCGCCCTGTCCATTACCCGGCGACGACAATGACGGCGGTAGGTAAATAATAACATTCCCCGCATACTTATGCCCTCCAATATGACTTATTAGCCCCACATTCGCCTGCCCAACATCATCTGCAAACCCACCATCGCCAGCTTCCTCGCCGCCACTGACACGGAACCCTCTCCCCTGCAAGACGCGCCGGAACTCAGCCTGCAAAAGCGGGCCCAGGATCCCACACCGCTGGTCGCGATGGCCGTGTCCGCATATCAGGATGGTGGGGGAGTGTTGGATCCGCACCATATCTGGGAAGAGGGAGGGTTGGAGGGTGGGGACACGGCGCATGTGCTCCCTCTGGGCGGCAGGGAGCGCGTCGTGGGCTGGGTGGAGGGTTGTGGGGAGGAGAAAGACGCGGACGAAGGCATCTAGGCTGGGTTCGTCGAGGGGGATTGTTGGTATGTAGCGGAATGAGGGGAATAGGAGGGCGGAAGCGGTTGTAGGGGTGGTGGTGGTGGTGGAAGCGGTTGTGTTGTATGGTCGGAATGAGGTATTTGTAATCATGATATTGTTGTATGGCTATTATTTACTTCCGCAAATTCGAATTAGCGAAGCCTCGTAGAGAAATCCTTTTTGCAACATCTCGGTTCCATCATTCCTGGCATGGGAATCCAGCAATCAAGACCGGGGAGTTGGTGACGCGGTGTTCCCGGACCACCCGTAACAGACAATAGGGCCCTATATCAAACCGGTATACTCCGTACTCACATCAGCATACCTTCCTCCTCTCCCAATGAGCCCCTTTAAGCCCCTCCCTAACATTCCCCAGCCCTCATCCACCCCGTCTTCCTCAATCCTACTCCTCCAGTCACGCTGCCCGGTCAAGATAAGCACCTGCTGCGAATACGGCGCCATGGTGCCATTGAGGTCGCGCTCGTGGTCAATCTCCAGGCCCTGGGGCATTTTTGGAGTTGGCGCACAGGGACATGTTGGTTCCGGGCACGAGGGCGTTATGGGAAATGGTGGGGGGATGGTTATACGACGTGAGGAAGTTGAGGAGTTTCTGGAGGTGAGGTGCGGACGAAGTCGGTTGGAGTGGAGGTGGGGTCTAGCGCGACATAGTGTCGAGAAACGAGTCACTGGCATGAATGCGCATTCACGTACCATGTTGAAGAGGGCACTGGGAAGGGTAGAAGTCCTGCAAAGCGGCATTGTGAGGCCGCATTCGCCGGTCTGAGATGGTAAGTTATGTTTTAAGTGGGGAGAGCTAATATTTCAGCCAAAAATAAAAAAAAAGAAGAGAAATAAAAAAAACCCATGACACTTTAAATAGCATACCGTATGCGAGAGGTATGATGGCATGTATAATAGTTTATTCTATGAGAGGGGTTAAGAGAAGAAGTTGTTTCTAAAAATCTCAAGCTTGTTTTCTGGAGATAAAGGCAGATATTTTAAAGATAGTAACTTTGTATGAAATAACTAAATAAAAACTAAAAACTAGAACTGAAAAATATTAAAAATACATCACCTAAAATTGCTAGCGTCAGAACCTATCTATCTAGGCATTTGGCTTAAGGGGATACTCTGTAGATCCGCCCGCAAGAGAGACTGAATAACGCATAGAAAATCCCTTGCAAGTAATATACAACTAATTTGAGCACATGTTCATATATTCACACTCCCTATGACTATGTAAAACAGAGCAATAATAAAGTCTACTAAAAATACTCCTCTCGCAATGAAGTGCCACACCAAGCTTGTAAACGAGAAGTTCGGATCTCATCACAGGGTTCCCTGCTTGCAGTAAATATGTTGCATATATATCCCCGTAAACGAGCTTCAACTAGCCTAACTAAGCACTAGGCGTGAAAGATGCCAACTCATGCGACGACTCTGTCAGTCTCCAGAGCTGAGAATAGAAGGCGAAAGCCCCAGCAACCAAGATGACGTAGTAGGCAACAGTCCATCCGATATTCAACGATTTGTGCGTCATGAAATCGGGTCCGCCGTCCACATCCTCCTTGCCCCTGGTGACAGTTGGAATAGCAGACTCCCGCGCTTCCACGCGACCCCAAAGGCGGGGCAGTCCACAGTAGTTGCAAAATGCATGGACAAGGATCACTGCTGGCAAAGAGCCGGTCCGGAGGTAGAGGAAGGTGGCATACCAGCCAAATATAGTGGTGTATCCAAACTGGAAAAGAGTCCTGGCGATGGAAGGCATGAAGCTGGTGTGAGGGTGGGTAAGTCTGAACTCATAGAAGTGGTGCACGTGCGCGATTCCAAAATAGAGCGGGGTGATGAACACAATTCGAGCAGGGGATAGATCGGTTAGCAGGTGGAGGGGAGTTAGTATTGAGCGAAATATGACTTCCTCCGTGATCGGCCCCTACGCGATGTTAGAATAAAGCCTGGAAAATGTAGACAGCTGACAGTTAGGTGGGCTATGGATGGATGACTTACCGCAACAAAGTTCCTCCAGCCTATCCATCCCCCAAGTGTTTCTGCTACACGGCTGCCACGAATCCAATCCTTCCACTCTCCCTCAACAATACCAACCTCGAATAAAGGACCCATGAAAAGGAGCGCCGTCAACAGGAAACATTTTACAATCTCCAAGGCCCCGATAGGCCACCATCCCAATAACCGCAGCGCTTCTGTGGGGGGATAATTGGCTTTATAGATAAAAAAGCAGAATACTCCCAGGCTTGAGAGAAAACATGACGTCGTTACAGCTCGTACGCGAGCTTTAATCACCGATGGTGCATCCCTGCTCAAAGTAGGCGACGGTCTAGTTGCGGGAGACACATAGAAAGGGACAACGTATAGCAGAGTAAATATAACCTGAAATCACGTGGGTCAGTCAGTTGTCCAGGAGATGTAGTTGATAGAACCATGGTGGACACGAGATATCGCATGGCCAACGCCGTGGATGAGAGCTACAGAGATCTTGGAGTGCATACCGAAAGGAGAACAGCCGCAAAAATTGAAAGCACTGGCTCCGGTTTTTCTAGAGTCCAGCACGTTGTGTTAGAATGAGTGCATGGATGTTTTAATCAGGAACTGAAAAATTGTTAAAAGCAAAGCACACCATTTTTGCTATATAGGTCTTTCAGCCTATCCATCAGCCCCGTGGGTGCCATTACCTCTTTCTCGACGTTTTCGATCAAGGCAGGCCACTAACTAATGAAATGTCTTTGATGGTGCTTGAAAACACCGAAGTGGATCTCAGGGCAAAGGGTTGCGGGTATATCTCCACAAGCTATAAGATTGGCTCGCGGGCGGGGGGTTTAGATGACAGTCTCTAGCGGGCAAACCAGCATGCTGCTTATCGAGAGACGGTCTGTCAAGCTTCTGGTGGCTGCAAGAACCCGCTCTCTCTGTGCAATGCCAGGTGGTTGAAGGTATGAAAGGAGGCTCTGGCGTTGAGCTGGAGCTACGCAGTAACTAGTTTTGCCAGGCTTGGCGCACCACCGTCCTGACCATTTAATATCGAACCATTTACCTTTGAACCTTTGAAGCATGTGAACTCAGAACTCGAACAACATAACCCAACAAACAACGATCAAACTACTTGAGCTTATTCCTCTTAGGTATCGGATTATTGATTCAGTGTTGATATTTCTGTTTACAAGGAAATACAGAGTATGTTTCACCAGGCCAAGGCTCGGTGTTTCGTTGGACAGCCCGCCATTCTTTTGGCAGCCAGCTCATCTGTATGGTTTCCTGTTGGGCACAATCAAGATCTCCTCATTGAAAGTTGTTTGAAATAGTGACCCACATCAAGGGAGGACTCTATACCCCGGGGCAGTCTCTATCCAGGCCAGTCTCTATACCCAGGGGTCTCTATACCTGGGGGGCCTCTATACCTGCGGGTGTCTATACCTGGGGTCTCTATACCCAGGGGTCTCTATACCCAGGGACCTCTATACCCGGGGGGGCTCTATACCCAGGGGTCTCTATACCTGGGAGACTCTATACCCAGGGTTCTCTATACCCGGAGTGCTCTATACCTGGAGGGTAAAACCATATATAATAATATACTAACTACATTAATACTAGTGTATTGGTGTGTGTCTATAATGAGTATTATGTGGAATTAGGCTTTTACACTGAACAACATCTAAAAAAGCCATTATTATTGTTTGACCCATTCATCTGTCACTACGGAGTATAGGCTGTCCATGCAAAGACCAGCTGGGTGGCGCAGAAGCCAGCGCCCTGGCTTGACTTGCACCAACAGCTGCAACCAGCTCTGTGAGTGGATGGGACCGAGCGGGATTCCTGCTACCAGCCAATCACGCTTGCAGCGTGTCGGCGCTCCTGTTCTCATACGCCAGAGACACCATTGAGTTGAATTCTCGTCGAGTTCTGCGATCAATTTGGTATTATCGCCGATTCATCCCAATTGTTGTCCTAACAAGAGTCGTCGAAAGAACGACGCTAAAGTTGCCTGGCCTCCTCACGAGGAGACGTTTTTTGTATAATAAGAGAAAATCCCGCTGTTGCAGCTTCGAAGCCTCCTCTCTCCGGAATTCAAAGCTATTTTCTATCGCTACAATGATCTACGGTATGTCTACCCCCGCCAGGGGCCCCGTTAACAGGTACAATATCCATCTTCGCGTGGGCCTGCCTGTGTCCCTTGTTAACGAGCGCTTGATGTCAAATCCCCACCCCCGTGACTACTCTATTACTCCGTATCGGCACCCGACTCCTCCCACGCCTAAAACCGCATGTTATCCGCATCCCATGTATCCATTGGAATACTGGTATTCATGGGCAAAGACAAAACGCGAGGTATATGTACGGATGATGAGGTCCGAATCAGGAAAGACGGATGTTGATGATCATCGGTCTTCCATTGACGATGCACATTATTGGAGATGTGAGGCCATGTTCTGGATGTCAAAGTCATGATTTAAGGAGGGAAGGCGCCTTAAAATTTCGAACGTGACTTACTGGAGATACGAGGCGGATTTTTGGAGAACTGCTTGTGCTGCAAAGGAGGACCAGGCTAGCCGCACGAGCATACAAGACACCGAATATTGGAAATGTGAGAGCAGATTTTGGAAATCTACTTGCCCAAGAGTCCACGAGGATGCCCGTTACGACGGCATCAACAACCCGAAATATTGGGAGTGCGAGAACATGTTGTACGAAGGTCTTTTGCAACCCCTTGTATACGCTGAGCATCAAGGACCCACTTTTCACCAAACCATGTTGCGAGATCAGGGCTACGCATATGACTCTGACAGCTCTAGTGGATCACCGAAGACTCTTCGCCGAAGCGCTCGACTTGCAAATTTGAAGCAGAAAGCCTCAGTGAACTCTTCTGCATCACAATCTGAACTACCTGCAGCAACCAACGCGAGTAGTACAAAGAAAAGAAAAAGCGAAGACCAGGCGATCAACAACCATCACAGAAAAAGAAAACTTGCTTGCTGATTGGCAGACTACCACAACAAGGAGGGTAGTGCTAATGCAAGGCTTGTTGGCTTTTAATGCCATTTACCAAAGATTGCAACCTCCCACTTCGGAAACAATGGAACTGTACTCGATCGGCCTTACCCCTCTTCACGGCCCACCTTACATCCTTCAGATGTTCATCTTCTTTCAACTCCATAGTTTCTTATCCAGCTCACATTTCTCACACCTCTTAACAATGGCAATTGATGCTGAATTGGTGATAGGCATTCTCAAGCCTGTGACATGAGAAGCCTTTGAAGCTCTAGAACTTCCACACAACAAGAAATATACCACAGAATTCAGTCCTTCATCAGGACCCCAGGGCGGACGGAAGAGGCAATGAAGAGCTATTCACTCAGAAACTACTCCAACACAGCTCATTCTATCTCTCTTGAATGACTGTAAACTCATTAATTCACATCAGAGATATGTTTTTGAAAGTAACAAGAATAAGTGTGATGTTCTGCTTATCAATAAGTCTACTGACAGAGTCAGTGGCATTTACTTTGATTTAAGTCTTAACTGTGACTCGGGAGCACTGCTCATCTGGGATGACTCCAGACTTGACACTCATTTGAGATCAAAAAATGCTGATTTCACCATCATCTTGAACAAACACTCACATTCTATTATTTCCAGTGATACAATTTTAGCAGGTTTAATCATACTCACCATAATTATTCCAGACTGAGAAAGGAATGAGGAAATTTTCTATCAGAATATGTGAAAATATTACAACAAGTGAATAAAGAGGCCTTCACTGACCAGTACTCTGATGATCCCGCAGTGCACTAGCAAGCCAACTTATTTAGACCTGGGCAAGATTTCGACATTTGAGGTTCTCAGTAGTGGGACAAGTGGGACTGTCTTCAAAGTAATGGATTGTTATGGAAAATTCTACGCGATGAAGATGCTGAAGTCATTCAAAGACCCAGTTGATAATGAAACGGCCAAGGCGAGATTTGACAAGGAGTCTAAGGCACTTCAAAATTTAGATCATGTACGCTCATCCCTTGTCATCCCTTGGCAATGTATATCCCAGACCACTCTAATATATGTCTAGGACAACATCATGTCTGTCATGGAGAGTATGGAGATACCTGGGCACAAAGGCAATTTCCTAGTGATGGAATATATGTTCATGGGAACCCTCGAACAACTTGAAGATCTGAATCCTCTCTGATTTCAGGCTCGCGACGCGGGATCATTTGCAGACCTTTTGCAGTTCTGATTTGTACGCTGCCCATGAAATTTATCATCATCAACCATATACAGCTAAAGTGGACATCTGGGCAATTGGTTTAGTCATTCTCAAGTACACTACCGGGTTTCCAACCCGTCCAATCTCATGAGATCACAAGCTGTGGTTTAAGTCTCTCGCTACGTTCGCCCCAAATCTTGACCCAATTCGGAAAACCCTGCGAGACTTTGCAGGTACAATGCTGGAGCCTGTTCCAGATGACTGTCTGATTGCTCAAGTCTGCTTCACAAGGATTGACAGCATCATGAAAGGCGAGGTGACAAACACTTCCTTTGACTTTAGAGAGCATAATCATCATTTCACTCTAGCACTGCAACTGTTCAATAACATTACCATAGACAACCTATGGGTCTGGATTCATTACAATGAAACCAAAGTACCATCTAGATCAATAAATTTGACCAAAATATGCCAGGGCCTTGGCCTACCAAGAGCCTTCATGAGGTCCTACTTGAACAGCAAAAAGTATCCATCATACATCCTTCCTAATACTCTGAGGCTGAAAATTGTTATCAGCACATATGTTAGCATATCATGTGCTATAGATTTTGTGAGAACCTGACATCCGGACATGGAGCAGCTTCTGCATGATCTTGAGCAACTGGACGCTTCAAATACAATGTCGGGAATACCAGACCCACCGAGTCCAGTTGCCCCAACTACAAACTCAGATTCTAATTCTCGGCCACAACCACGACCACGTGGCAAGTCGGTCCGCGGAAGCTTGGGTCGCTCGACCCCGCGAGCATTGGGCGGGTCGGTCCGTGGAGGCTTGGATAGCTCGAGCCCGCGAGCACTGGGCAGCTCGGTCCCTGCAGACTTAGATAGCCCAAGCCCACGAGCACCGGGCGGGTCGGTCCCTGCAGACTTAGATAGCTCGAGCCCGCGAGCACTAGGCAGCTCGGTCCATGGAGGCTTGGATCACTCAAGCCCGCGAGCACCAGGTGACTCGACCCAACAAGGTTTTGGCCACGGCCATTCTCCCCTTGGTGGCATGGATATGACACTCACCAACCAGGGGGACATTCCAACCGTCCTGGAAGAAGATATTTTCAGCAACTTTATTTGGAATGAATATTTTAGCAAAAATCCATTGTGAACTGCTGTGAATTCAGTGTATTCTTTTACTCCTCTGTGTTTGTTGAATTTTAAGTTTGTTATTCATTTTGTTTAGTGGCATATCACATATCAGTACCATGCTTCATCACTGATGATGGTAACTCTAGAAACTCTCAAACTTGGTTCTAAGGAGAGCAGAGCCAGCACTGAGAGTTGCTGGAGCAGCAACAGCAACACACTATTCTCAGTATTAAAGTCAGGGCAGGATCTGAATACTTCTTATGTCCCTTTTTTTTTTTTTCAGCCAGCAACAAAGGACAATTGATAGGGATCATGGGGTCCAAGCACATTCAGTCTATTTTGATTGAGCGAGCTTAGCTAGTTTAATATTCAAATTTTCTCCTGATATCAGAAATGCCGCGCCAGGCATCAGTCCCAACACCTGTCATCGCTTGTTCAGGTAGCACGGGTCTCACCTCTCTTAAAATATCATGTGTGAATGAGGAAAGGCCAGCTCCGCCCTCCTGGATGCATAAGCAGGAGATATTGCTCTTTTGCCCTGTGCTGTGCAGTCGTACAAAGGCTTACCAGTCACATCCACTTGAAGCGTGGCTGCTGTGGTTAGGGAAATTAACGGGAATCCGGATGTTGCTGTAAATCCGCTTCCGATAGATAGGGTTCGGGCCGGGTGGGGGTAGCGCTGCGGGTTCCACAACCTTATTCCCACCACAACCGGGCCCAACTCGAGCATGCGCACTTGAAAACGAGCTGCGGTTTATATCGCCATGATGGGGTTGATAAAACATGCTGCCTTGTATATATGGGATAAGTCGACAATCTACCTTACGAATTCATCCTTTTAGTACAGCAGTCTGCCCATGATTCAGTTGAAAATGAAAATGATGCATTCCAAGAAGCCACAACAACCATCGCGTTTTGAGCACTGTAACTTGATTAGATTTACCTACTTTTTAATGGATGTGGCTGTGTCTTACATTTACTAGCCAAGAAATCTTTCTCTCCCGACACTCTCCTATGCTTCCTCTATGAATCTTGTGGAAATCTTGGACTGTACGGAGCGATTCTGGTTCACTAATCGAAGGTCGATAGCGAGTACATTTTCTTAGGGCCAAGGCAAGGTTTCGTGTGGCACTCATATTTTCTAGCCCCCCGCTCCGCCATTTTGGCGGATTTAATGCCAATCTCAAATTGAAGATGCGTGTGTGGGTTCGCTAACAGGTGATGAAGTGGGAACAAATTTCTGCCAATTGAATGGATGAGAAAAGGACTGGAAAAAACGAAAGCTGACCTGAACGCAAAATTACGGATGGCTTAACCCATTTAACGTCAGCCCCGCGGAGAGCAAGAGCGAACGAGGCTGGCAGAAGAAGGGAGGAAAAGAAGGTACACACGCCATTTCTACAAAGCCATTCGGTTATTTTCCTACCGCGCGGGGAGAATCCTCCAAATTCTCAAGCCATGTGCTGTACATGTGTGTACATGTACATTGTACGCAGCGTACATATCTGGTCAGAAACCGGCAAGCCCAATGAAATACGTATTACCGGCGTTCTAGACTTCTGATGTCGGTTTTACTTCGTACTTTTGGTAGGGCCATTCTCTGCCTTGTTTTAGTTCTGTTTTCATTGAGGGAGGAGATCAGCCAGCCAATTTGAATCCTCCTTTGCTTTCGTCAGCCTGTGTGCGGTACCCCCGCTGGAATTTTTCATTCGCTCGAACAACTGCACCATGGGAATTGCATCGGAGCTCCCAGTGAAGGTATCGGCAGGCCATCCCAAACCAGACAGGTTTATAAAGGAAGCGACAAAGCGGATACCTCGCAGTTGCTCTCTTTGTCGCGTGGGAAAGTTAGTCGCCTAATCGTATAACCCATTGAGCAAAAACAGACAGCGGTTTTTACCTACTAGATATGTTATCTTGACAAAATTATCTCACTATATGTGTAAGGCATAAATAATTATTGTGTTGTTCTTCTAGGTTCCTTTCGCCATGAACTATGTCCCCTTCGTATTATCGGTCTTAAGGATAGGAAGCCTTGTCATAGGTGCTCATGTTGAAGCTTCGAACGCGTTATATCCGTTGGACGGAACTATTGAACAGTTGGGCCTACAACGGTTTTTCACAGATATATCAGAGCTGGAATTAGCGAGGACTTCGCTAAACACACGTTGTGAGAAAGCCGTATGCACGACCCATTTCTAGGAGATCATTATATACCATGTTCAAGGCTTGTGGATTGTTGCACGATTGATGTTAATACAGTGGTAACATGCGAGTAGTGCGACATCCTCTCTACCGTGCTCCCGTCAGAAGTGCAGTTCCCTGGCACTGATGATTACGTTTCCAATAAGAGAAGCTATTGGGCAGAGCAACAGGCTGCCTTATCACCAAACTGCTTTGTTGCAGTAACGGAATCCCTTTCCGTGTCAATATCTGTCGCTATCTCTCGGAAGACGCAGTGTCCATTTAGTGTTCGAAGTGGTGGCCACTCGGATGTTCCCGGTGCATCCAATATTGAAAATGGCATAACTATTGATCTCCGACCTCTTCGTGAGATAGTCGTGTCTAATGATAAACGAACAACATCCGTCGGTGCTGGTGCGAGCTGGGGGGAGGTCTACACCAAGCTAGATCAATTGGATCTTATTGTTGTGGGTGGACGGGTATCTCCCATCGGAGTTGGAGGGCTATCTCTTGGAGGTATGCTTATCACAACCCTCCAAAGCTATCCCTCAATTTCTGACGTGTTAGTAGGCGGTATATCCTTTTTCTCTGGGCGGGAGGGGCTCGCTTGCGATAATGTTGTCAACTATCATGTTAGTTTCCCCTCCCACTACTTTGGCGATCGCATGGGAATGTTAATATTTCTTCTACCCATAGGTCGTCATGGCAGACGCGCGATTGCAAAATGTCAACCAGACGTCTCATCCAGATCTCTATCTCGCTTTGAGAGGCGGCGGCAACAACTTTGGCATCGTTGTCCGCTTCGACCTTGACACCTACCCCCAGGGAGAAATGTGGAGCACTATACGATCGTACGGGCTTGATGCCAAAGAATTCATTACTGAAGGCTTAGCCGTGTTTAACGAGCATGCCAGTAATGACCCAAGTTTGTCGATAATAACAAGCTTCTCAAACGTCCAAGGCCAATGGATAAGCGGCCTCATTGCTCATTATGCGAACGCAGTACCCGATCCAGATATCTTTACATCCAGCTTCGAAAATCTCACAAACGTTAACCCTATTCATCAAACTACCCAAATTTCACGCCTCGCCAATCTCACCAAAGATTTCTCTTCCTATAATCCGCCACTAGGGTACCGCAACCAGTTTACAACCGCAACGTACAGGAACAGTGTCGAGCTGCAGAACAGAATTGTTGAAGTAGTTATATCAGAGACGGATAAGATCAGGGACAAAATCAGCAACCTTGATGGGTTCGTCTCAGCCGTTAACTTTCAAGCTATAACTTTGCCAATGATATCCAAATTCTCAAAAAGGGGTGGGAATATTCTTGGCGTCAATCCACACCGCGGACCGCTTCTGCGTAAGTTTCTACCACTATACTCTCCATTCCTTCCATGGTTTCGAAATTCTGTATTCAGATAGCTGTCAGATGCATACACGCTCTTACTAATACCTTGTTACCGTCATCTGAATATAGTTGTTCTGTTTAACTTTTCCTGGGCCAGCCGTGCCGATGACTACCTCGTTATCCCAACTAGCGAATCGATTTTATCTCGATCCAACGCCCTCGCGACAGAGCTTGACCTTCAAGATGGTTTCATCTATATGAACTACGCAGGGCCTACCCAGTCGCCACTTGCAAGTTATGGCGAGGAGAGTTTGCGGCAGCTGAGGAGCGTACAGGCGAAGTATGATCCTGATCTAGTGTTTGAAAAGTTGCAGCCTGGTGGTTTTAAGTTAAGCGCCGAGGCATAGTTAGGTTGTTAGTTTTATTCATTGCAAAAACACAGCCGGTGACACAGTGATATTACTCTTTATACGGAGGAATGGATGGGGATTTGATTAAGTCTGCGATGAGTGATATATTTAAATAGGGGATTGAGTATTGCTTAGATGTACTGCGCAAGGTGTTGCTAAGTGTTAAATAGGATGAGGAGATCATGGTCAAAGAATGACTCCCAGAAGGACCCACTTCCAACGCCCAAAGATAGCGTCAAAAAAATTAAAATAAAAAAAAAAAAAAAATCTCCAAAGGAATAACTCCAAAATCACTACGGACTGTAAAGACGAATAGACCCCTCATCATCCCTCCATAACATCCACGCCGCAGCGATGGCAATCTTAATCGACGGGGCGATCCAGATCGCAATACTCTGTACTCCCAGCGCGCGTCAAGTACCCGCCCAACACCGCGCCCGGCAGGAGGAGTGTAACCACAGAAACAAAGCGCCGATCACGCCTCGGATTCTCCAGTAACCGCGCAGTAAATAGCGCAGAATCAACCATCAACCATACGCAGTAAGATCACAGTAATGTGCTACGTGCTTGTGAGTTGGACCGTTGGGTAGGTAGTCCGGCGAAGTCGAGCATGTTGGCTGGCGATGATCTGGCCCGCGGACTGGAAGGACAGCAGTTTCAGTGAGTTGCTCGGTCTGGCCGGTGGCACGATTCCTGCCTTCCACTAGCGCGCCGCTGGTGAGAGCTGAGGAGGGGCCTGGACGACGGGGAATGTCGAATCAAAATGCACCGCAGGCGAAACTTACGCTGTAGGATGGATGTCGGTGTGTGCCTCTGGCTCGGTTGTGGAGCGGGAGCGCAAGAAGGTTCTGCAATTGGGAGCTTGCATATCCGTGACAACGGCCGGGGTTCTTGGTCCCTTCGACTGATGGAATATTTGGGAATATTGAGAACTGTTCTTTCTATACGGAGTACGGAGTACAGTAGTTACATATACCAAGTCTGCATGCTAACGGCCGGAGATAAAGCAGGTCCCGATAAGGATCAAATCAGCATGGGCTTTGGTGGTTTTCAGTCGCGACGGTAGAGTCCGACTCGGGGTTATCCTTGGTTGGTTGAACCGTTCATAGGTGATCACGATGAGTCCCCTGTGCTTATGATACGGCAAATATTTAACAAGACATTTATCGTATCGTGAAATCAAAGTCGTGTGGAACGAGCCTTTCAATCGATCCCCCCCCCCCCCCCCAAAATAGGGGCATGCAGGTTTGGTTCTTCAGAAATCCCCGCCGTTGCGCAGTTTAGGGCAATTCAACTTAAAAAACCCTTACTGACATATCTTCAAACACAGGCTGCTGGCATGCAAAGAAGCATTTTCAGTGATTGGAGTCAAGCATGGCATGGTTTGGAAAGGGGACCTTTTGGCCGTTGACCGTCAGCGCCTGGCCTCCTCGCGCGAACATCAAGGAAGCATAGGAATCGTGTCAATCAGTAGTTAAGAATTTTTGACAGGCCGTTCGTTACAAAGAGGAGAAGTTGCTTTTTGCAGAAGAGTAAGGCGAACTATCTCATCTCTCCCCTCAAGAGCGAGGAGCAAAAGCCGCGCCCCCAGCAAACAGAGCGAGCGATGGTATGAAAGTTCTCCAAAGATACATTGGATAGTTATACATGTATTTTCGTAGTTGCGATAAGTGAGTTGGTTGAGTTCTACGATGCCAGTCCGCCTGAAACCGAACCTCCCGCTCCAGTTCTATTATGCAGCATACAGGAAACAATTGATTCCTACCCAATTATATTATTATTATGTATGACTTGACTGCCCAAAAAACTCCTCTAACTCCCTTATCAGTCGATCGAACCCAGTGGCCCCATAGAAGCATAGGATAGGAGTGAGTAGTGGGGACTCTGCAACACTCGGCTTTCCCAATGTTGCTTGCTCTGCTTACCCTCGTGCAACGTATGGGAATTACGATTTGGCAGCGTGTCTCCCGAGCGAAAAGGACAGCAGCTAGGTTTGATTGACATTGGGCTGTTGCAATGTGTTTGTTGAGTGAGCGAGATGATCACAAGAGGGAAATAGATGTGCGGGAATGGTATTTGCAAAAGCTGCAGTTGAGATATATTTGTATTAATAATTATTTACTACTGCGTAAGTTACGGAGTAACTAACTATTAGTTATCTGATTGGTTAACAATGTATATAGAATTAATCTATTCGTGAAATATATTCCACTTACTCCGTACTGAACATTATTGAAAGGCATTGTGGCTATTCATTTCTTTTTGCGCTTGGGAAACGTAATGTGTAACTCCGAAAATCCACCTCTCTCACGGTCATTGTCACATATAACTACAGACTCTGCAGCACAGATGATATGGCATGTTCCATACGCATGAGCGCCGAGTTCATGTGCAGTACCTGTACGCCGGCATATGCATGCTTCGAACTCGAATAATAATAATAATAATAATAATAATAATAATAATAATAATAATAATGGAAGAGAGGGGCCATTTGGGGTCATTTGCGAATTTGCCCTCCTGTGATTCGTGAATGAGAGGCCAGAAAACTTCGCTTCTGTCGCATCCATCGTGGGATTTTCAGTTGCATAAATTAAAACAGCGTTAACTACTGCAGGTACCGTGCATATTGACCAATTAAAAACCTCGCGGACCTGGATTTAGCCGTGGGATGTATGTTGCAGTGAGACTCAAGCGTGATTTTTGATTCGCTGGTGGACGGTTTCTTTTTTAGGTTGGGGTTTTATGAGCAGGAGTTAATTTGCGGGATTGTGTCCTTCGCTTTCGGCTGTTTTTGTTATGTATGTACTGTACAGTACATTAGTCCGAGAAATATTCGATAATAAAATCAATAAAAAGGGTAGAAATCAATAATAATTTTTGTCAACAACAACTATGAAAAAAAAACAAAAAAAAGAGACACTCTGAGATAAACAACAAGGAAAGTCATTGCGTCATGAAGTTGCTTACAACAACACCAACAACACCAGGTTGAGTTAACTTAGTAGCAGTAGTAGGAACAAAAGACAGAAGGATAGGCGAAAGCACTAAAATTCTTATTAGATTCCTCTGGAGAAAAGAAATCATCGCGAGGCGTGCGTGCCTAGTTTATGCTGTTATGCAGGTCTGCGTTGGCAAGTGGATTTTTTTTAAGAAACTCATTTGGCGGTTAACTATTTCTTTGACGTTGATGCGAGGAGAGAAAATGTTTCTAATGTTTCGTCCCCCCTGCGGCCCTGCAGGCGTATCCACAATAGGGATTATATGATTATTCTTCTTATCAGCAGCGGGAAGAAGAAAATGAGTAACTACAGGCTGCATTTAATTTGTAATGCAGGGGGCTCGCTGGTTGATGATGAATTTGACCCACGGGTAAACTCGAGCCGCGGGCGGATTAACTATGCTTGCGGGTTCCTGGCAAGCCTAACTATCTATCAGCGTAAAGATTCCCCGGATGTCAACCAAGAAATCCGGTGTTTTTCAACATGATATCCAAGTATCCAGGAACTGGAGTATGTGTGACGGGGAGTGTGAGAAGGGAAATAGTTGTTGAATAATGGTGATGGATCAATCAATAGCCTCGATGGCAACCACCCTTGCTGTTGTTTTTTTGATGAAACAGGGGACGCGATGTGCAATAATAATAATACATACATCCGGGCGCCACAAGAAACAGCCAGCAGCCCAAGCCCAAGACGTAACGCAGCGAGATATATCAAGATGTATCAAGATGTATCAAGATGTATATCAAGATATATCAAGATGTATCAAGATGTATCAAGATGTATATCAAGATATATCAAGATGTATCAAGATGTATCAAGATGTATATCAAGATATATCGATCAATTATCTCGGATGAATGAATCATGATTTCCCGATCCAGACAAAGCACGCTGCGGCCCACGTGATCTCCACACCGCCCCCCCGGCCCCCCGAACCCCCGCTAGTCCTCTTTCGGCGCCGTCTTGACGCCCATCGCCAAACGTCAACTTCATCTTTTCATCTTTCAACTTCTTCTCTTCATCTCTTCATCTCTTCATCTCTATCTCTCTCTGTCTCTCTCTGTCTGTTCCTTGATTTCCTTCTTTAACCTCCGAAAACGCTGATTGCGTCTACATTCTTTTTATCTGCTTTTTGTCTGGTTTCAATTAGATCAATTCCACCCCCCCCTCCCCTCCCTCCAAGTCGCTCTTTACCTTCGTTTCAGCCGCCCTGTTGTTCCATCGTTCGCCATCCATACATAGTTAATTACTTGTACCTTGCTTCTTCTCTACACGCCCATTGAAAAATAAATATAAATAAATATAAATAAATAAAAAACCAACTTTCGCCCGTTTCGTCTACCCGCCCGAGTCCAACATTGAAAAGCCATACACAAACCGAGAGTAATTAACAAACCGCTCCCAACTCACTCGCTCACTCACTCCCAACTCATCTCAACGATCCGCTCTCTCTCTCTCTCTCTCCAACGGCTCATCTGGCACCCTTCGGTGTCTTGGGAGCTGAGCTGTTCATGATCGAGTAGTCCTTTTCGGTGGTCTTCTTCTTTCTTTCTTTTTTGACGATTCAATTTCGGATTATATGCCTTAACGGTTTCTTTTTATCTTCAACCAACCTTCATGAACTAATTATTCCTTTCAAATGCTTCTCACACTCTTTTATATATATACACAACCATAGACAGCAGCTTTCGGATCGATCTAGACTCTATTTTTATGATATTTAATCCCATTAATCTAATTGTTTCTCGCGAGCCCGTTTCAATTGAAACACCCTACCGTCGACCAGCAAACGGGAGACGGAGAAAATGCCCTCTCACCCGTCGAATGTTCCACCCTTGTCTCCAACAAAGCCGAAGCGCAGGACCCCCCTCCATGAGCGATCGAGTTCTCAAACGAACGAACAAAGCTTCCCTCCGACAGTGCGACTGATACAGGATCAGGACTTGCAAGATGAAACCGAAATATACTCCACTACACCCTATCCAACAAAGCCCGAACATGTCTTGTTGCCGCCAGCGAGTTGGAAGCAGGGGTCGACTTCTAATGCAGGGTATAGCGTTTCACATTCAACCCCGGAGTCAATCCCCCGTTCCAGTTCAGGTGTCAACCTCGACCACAGCCTTCCAATTCATGGTGAAAGGGACATCTCGGGTGCGACCTCCTCCATCCACGGGACACACTCATCCAGTCAAGCATGGGATGATTCCTTAAACTCAAGCAGGACATCCATCCCCCAGTCAGTGCCAGGGACTCCCCGGCCTTTGCGCGGTGGAAGGCGGGAAGAAGATGACAATTCATCTAACAGCGATGGCATTGCACTTCCCCCCACAATCAAACGTGTCCCGCGGGACGACTCCCCATCGCCTCCCGCCCAGTCTCCCGTCGAATCCATATTTTCGGAATATGTTCATGGCAATGAGGAGTCAAGTCCCAACGTTGCCCTCATCGGTCTGCCCTCCAGCCCAAACATTGTACCTATCAATACTTCGTCACCGAATCTAGTCCCTCTTGGACGGTCATCTCCAACTTTGGCGTCGGAACCTCTAACTGATTCATCGCTCTACGAAGCCAACTCGGTTGGAACTGCGAGAAGGTACATCGGCGCCGGTCAGCGGAATAACAGTCAGTGGAACAGCAGTCAGCGGAACAGCACCTTGACAACCGACGGTTCGCTCTCCGAGCCGCAAAGCTCCACCCCGTCTCATTCCATCCCGTCGAGCCCTCCGAATGTGCCATTAAGATCCTACCAATCAACCTCATCGTTCGGCGCCCTTCCCGCCATCACGCCATATCGAGCTCAACCGTCAACTTCATCTGCATCCTCAAAAAGTAGTCGATCTGGTCCAGATGGTCACTCGCCCACGGGTACTAGTACTCCTATCCAATATCCCACCAATCGCTACCCATCAGCTAGCTCGAGGGCCGAATCGACGATATCCCGATCTTACGTGCAGTCCATGACGGAGCGTTTTTCTGGCCGATGGAACCCGCATTTGTCGACTGTTCCCTCGGAATGGTCTACCGAGAGATCACAGAGCCTTGCCTTTCCCGATCAGCCCGATGAGAGTTGGCCGAAGCGTCCGGAGGAAGCTAAACTTCGGGATACTTCACGACCGTCAATATGCCCGGTGGATGAATCTGAAATGGAGGAGCATGGCGATAACCTGACACATTTGCGATCCCCACCACTCCGAAATAAGGCTTCTGGTACTTTGAGCCACAAGTCATCTCTCTCCGCTCTGAGCAATTCAAGAAATCTCCTCCGCTCGTCAAGCGGCAGTTCATTCCTCCATGTGATCCCCGCTTGGGCCCGAGTGTACTATAGCACTGGAGCGCAGTTCGCTTCGCTATTCTCTCCAGATAGCCGTCCCTCAACACCCGCATCACCGCCCATAACCGCTGTCTCCGTGTTCTCCGCAGCATACAACAGTGACCCGCGCATGGTAAGCCGGACGCCTCTAGGGATAACCAACCCCAGACTACGTCCGCGCGAGATCGAATATTCGACCGAACTTGATGAATTCCATGAACCCGATGAGCCCGATGAGCCCGATGAGCCCGATGAGCCCGATGAGCCCGATGAGCCCGATGAGCCCGATGAGCCCGATGAACCCGATGAACCCGATGAACCCGATGAACCTCCAGCGGCCGCTATTGCTCGTCCACCCAATCCCGATCCCATTGATCCCAGGAACCATTGGGTTCATGACCCTGAACTGGACCGTGTTAGAACCCAAGTTACAATGGAAGACTTGCCCGGTGCATGGTCTCCACATTTGCATACGGACAAGCGAGTGGACCCCACACGAAGGAGCAGATGGAAGCCGCCATCTCTGGATGAGAGGGCCGAGGGACTTTTCGGCCGACGAAACGCCCAGGTGTATGCCTTCGCGTTAGGTTTTGTGTTTCCGCTCGGTATGTAATTCCCCCGCCCCACGTCTACCTAAAAACACTCGGCGCATGGCATGATAACTAACGAATTCTGAGCTACATACAGCCTGGATAATCGCCGCGTTCCTCCCCCTCCCTCCTCAAGTTAGCCATATAAACGAGGAGGCAACGACGAGTCGTCCGGATCTGGCACATGCGTTCAATAATCGTGTGGTGCTGGTTGATGAAGTGCGTCATGCAAATGCCCGGTGGTGGCGGAACGTCAATCGCTTCATGTCCCCGGCTGGATTGGTTATTATTGTCGTTGTGGTGGGTGCTAAAACTATTTTCTGTTTGAAGGCTCGAAGGAAAGAAAACTTACAATATTTTTGGATGACAGATAACCATGGCAGTTCTCTTTGCCTAAAAAACAACTCCCCGTCTGCCTCTACCTACCCGCCCGCCGGCCCGCTCAACTACGAACTTTTTTAATGACCCGATAACGAAACTATTTCTAGAAAAGTAATAAAAAATAGAGTCGATACGATACCCCTTTTCCCCCAATCTCTCGGAACCTCATGCTTTCTGTCTGGCTCTGATCTCAAAGGGACAACAAAACACCCAAAAAAAAAAAAAATTTCATTCTCGTCTTTTTCTCTTTCCTCGAACGCCCTGGTGCGAACCGATCCCATTCATAACATCCCACAGCGTGGCGAAAGTCGCAGTCCAGCATTGCCCTATCTATATACAAACCAGGAACAAAAAGAAATTCGATTTTTTCTTTTTTGTCTCCTCGTTTGTCCTTTTTACATTATTCTTTTTTGCTTCTGCTTCTGATCTATTAGCGCTGGTGTCTACTGGGGCCTAATCCTTGTTTTATTTTTAACCATACTTTTGTTACATATTCATTCTTGAACTTACATTTGTCCCTGTTTTTTTTGTTTTAGCATCTTTTTCGATTTGTGGTGGTTTTCTACTTTTTAGTTAGTCCCTACCCCCTATTTGCCCCTCATCATTCCCTTCTCTATCCGTCTGCACCTGGATATATTTCTCACCCAGCCGAGTTGGTTGGCGCGACTGTGTAGCTATATTTCCCCTAAACCCCCTCATATATTTTATGTCTTGACTACTTAATGTCTTTTTTATCTTATCTTTTTGGATATTGTATTGCACCTTCCCCCCCACCAATCCCATCCATCCAATTAATCTGATTCATCCGTCCAGGCGACCACTTCTTCTTCCGCAGCCCGGGGCTATCTTTCACTTGTACATCCGATCAGCATTCTGCTCATCGTACTGACTTCACCATCCCCCGGTTTTGCTTTTCTCCCTTAGTCTCTGTGCGGATTTGGATCTTGATGTGTGTTGCTTCGGCTGGCTTTTTGTGCGATAGACCGGTTTGTTCATGTACATAACCCAATGTACAGCGCATACATAGCGTATATATTTATATAATATATGATCGTGTTTTCACACATTCTTTCTCAAAGGGAGTGGTTTCTTTTTTTTTTTTTCCCTTCTCTTTTGTGACTATTCAATAGCCCGAATAGCAATTTTTTAACGTTCGTAGAGACATTCTTTTAATTGAACCCCGGGGAGTAACGATTGTGAGTCCTGTGAAGGCGGTTAAAGGTAAGTAAGTGAGTTACGTGGCGTGATATGCTCGCCTGCAAACTCTCTCTCTATCCCCCCTTCTTTTGCTCTTTTCCGTCGTGTGATCCTAGCTGCCGTGGAAAACCCATTTCGACTTCTCCCAAGCTAAATAAATCCTGCCTTAAAATAAAAAGAGTTTTGTTTTTTAGCAATGGAAACGCTCCACTCGGCCAGGAAAATATAACACCAGATCCCGCTGTTGAAGCTTAACGATTGCTGTTTGTTCCTCTTTTGTATATATATCCGTTGGTCATAGTCATAGTCAATCCGCTTGGTTTTTGAAGATCAGATTAACGATTTGCTGCTGAAGCCTATATATTATTTTGTATGGTAGATGTGAGAAATGAGGGGGGGGTTTATTTTTGGGGCAACAAAAGGGGGGAGCGGGGGGGTAGGTTAGGTAAAAGAAATTAGAAGACAAAATGTGCGCGGGGGGGAATTAAGATTGAAGATTTATAAGACAAAAATGTAGAGAATATATATAGCCCAATTTATTAAGCACAAAACAATCAGAATGGTCGTGGCCGTATATGTGCGTAGCGTGGCGAGACATGGTCTATATGGTGGGTTAAATGAACAACGAAAAAAAAACATCGTGAAAGCTCCAGAGATTTAGACGTATTCACCAGGCCCAGGCGATAAAGGTATAAAGAAAATTAGGCGGATGAAAATAGGCAGCTACCAAAAATCGTTTGTAAATAACACCCCTCAAAGCTTCCTCCCAAGCTTCTCTTCCACCGCCGCTTTCAGCTCCTGCCCAGACGGCATTGTGACAACACTCCCCCTCCTCTTCCGCAATTCGATCTCCCGCTTAACTTCATTGACGGCGTCCTCTATATCCTGTCCAGGGTTCGGTGGTAGACCTAGCACAGGTTGCTCGCGGGGTTCTCGAACACCAGCAGGTGGTCTCGAGACGGGGCCACCCCGGGCCTTTAGTCGCTTAACCAAATAGCCCTTCGCGGGACTGGAGAAGAAAGCCTGCGAAGCTGCTATCCCGACGATACCATAGTAGTAGACGCTTGACCAGACGTGGATGCTCTGCTTAAAGTGGAGGATTACAAAGGGTGCCACGATGAACGATAGGGCCAGTTGGGTTGTCAACCAGCTTAGGATGTCATAAAAGCGTTTGTATGGGGTTGGAGAGGAGCCATCTGGGGTGAGGAAAAAGGGGCGAACGTTGCGGCGGAAGTCTGGAAAATTTCGTTAACTATTAGTTGCAGGGAATAAATACAAATAGGTTTCAGGCAAAGGGGAGATGGAGTACTTTTTGCAGTTGTTTGAATGAAAGCACCTAGGATGAAGGTAAAGTAATATCCTGGGTGGAAACCATGCCAAAATGCGCTCGTTACGAAAGTCGCAAGACTAGCTCTGAATCCTGGCTTTTTGGCCTTTGGCGTTACTCTCAAATACATGTAGTTTTTCAGCCAGTGGTTGGTATTTTTATTCCAGTTACTGAGATAAGCGTGCGGACTTTGCGCCGTTTCCAGCCCCTTCGGGTTCACGTTTTCCAATCGATTCCACGACACTTTGCCAGTATTTGGATCAAAGCCATTGTAGCCCATCCCGGATAGGATGCAAGCGCCCTCTGTCAAGGACCATACACCGTAGTATTTGAGCCTGGAAGTAAATCCAAGCATATGAAGTATCCATACTCGTCTCAGCAGGGTGTATTTCAAATAATTATCGCTGAGGATAAATTCGACGTTATATAAACGCCCAAATTGGAGGAAGCCAAATATCCAGAACAGACCAAATGCTGCCCTCAGCAAAGCAGGTCTGCCGCTTCTCGGAATCTTTCGTTTTTTACGAGTCGGCGGCCTCTTTGCTGGATCTACTCCTGGTGGTGCGTCGAACATTGTAGTTTCGATCCATTTTCGATACTCTATATAGTCGAAAGCCGGTCCGGCGAACAGAGATGGGAAAAAGAAAGTATAGCCAGCGAAATCAAGCAGGCTAGGGAGTTTGGTAATAGCTGCGTATTTTTGTGATTCTGACAGCTGCTCCTGTGGTAATCGACCGTCATGTACGTTCCAGCAAAAGGCCGTCAGTTTCATTACCAGCACCATCTGAGCTCCCGTGATATCAATTGTCGATGGGCTGTCAGCAAGTTGTCTGCTTATGTGATTAATCGACATATGACCCATGAGAAATACAAATGCGATCCATGGCATCAAGGGACCGTCAACATAGAAAGCTATGGCATATGCCCCAGCGGAGCTGTAGAGAAATGTCCGCAAGCCGTCCCATAGGTCGAACATTCCAACCAGGTAAAATATTGAAACGCCAACAATAAACACATTCTTGAGCCATGGCTTCGAGTCTGGCAGCCTTTTTAAGACTCCCGCAAGAGGGTATGAGAGGAGTAATGAGGTGATCAACTTTACTGTTGGAAGGTGATAATTAGTGGCTCTTGGAAGGGAAAATGTGGAACTGGGTCTTGTTGGTGGTGGACATACGCTCGTCAATGGAAGCCCCCGTTGCATCAGAAACGGGTGAGAAAGCTGCGCGGTCATAATTGTTAGCATCAAATAGTATGACAGAGTCCGGGGGAAACTTACGGGTGTTGATATATGGCAGCATGTTGAACAGTACCCAAGTGAAGTGGGGAGGGAGTCCAAACCTCGATATTTCAGCTATTTTAGCACGAGGATTGCAGTAGAAAATCAATCAGCATCGCACGCAAGAGAAATAGAGGCGTGTGAAGACGTAGTGCTCATATTAAATGAGCTCACTATGTCTCCTCCTCCGTATCAGGCGAATGTTGCTCGTTGGTTGAGATGAAAATGAAACGGTTGATGTGCGTGGTGACGAATGAAGCTTTGGTTGGAGCTCAACGAGATTAAGTTAGCGGTGGAAAAATGTGGAGCTAACTTAGTTACTTGCTCGCCAAGTATTTCCACGTGTAAAACCGCGGAGAGTCTACCCGTCGGGCAAGTACCCACCAAACAAACCGTCGTCATTTGCGCGCTGAACTCTCATCATCAACCTTGGAATACGTCAAACCAACCTGTCGTCCTCGATTGAATCTTCCCTTAGATGCGTACAACACATCCAAACGCCCACTCGATAACCTGATCTACTATATACCATGAAACAAAAAATATATTCCCAAGTAACTCCAATACCGCTACCAAATTCCAACCGCTTTCCACCACCCCCCCCCAACACAGCACCATCTCACAACAACTGTGGAAGGCTATACAATTATGCCTCCTCTACTGCCGTGTAGTGACTGTGCAACAGGAACCAATGGCGATGCGAAACCAATCCATGGCCAAGCGCAGATTGCTATGCATCTTGGGCTAAAATAAGTAACACACCCGCCACCAAGCGGGGAGGGGGTGCTTTGCACACGAGCCGCATGTTGACAAGGCTCGGGAGAAATCTGATAGGTCATTCTATCCCTAGACTGTTTTCAATGCACTTGTGCTGCAGGACACCAACATCTTTGTTGAGACAGAGCCTGGGAATTGGTCAAATGGTGGTGTACCTGTCCGACTAGGTGCACTTCGGCGGGGCTCAAATATCGCCTTTATAAAGCCACGCTGTCCCCCCGACAAACCTGTGTGGAAAATGAAAGATATCAAATTACAAGAGCACGCGATGCTTGTCGCATTCGACGAAGTCAGGTCTGTTGATGAACTTCTGCTGTGAAGGTTGGAGAGAGCAGGATTCCAATCTGGCTTCCCCCGTAGTTTCTCAAACATTTTTGCTTGTGGTTGCGATTGCTTAGAATTATCCGCTGTGCGTGTACCACATCATGGAAGATGGACGCGACAGTTTGGATGAAGAATGTCCCAATCTGGGGGACGATGAGTAAGTACTTGCTACGGCTTTTATTTCAATTCCGGGGCACTGAATGAAAGGGACAGGCTCAATCTCAAGTTTATATCAACCACAACCGTGTCTTCGCATCACCTGAGGAAATCATCAGCACCGTCTTTCAAGCTGCTTCTTGGCTCCCCTTCCACGGATGATTTACCATTTGGCTACAAGCTTCGGCGTTTCTGGCCTCGTGCGGTTATTGGCGTCGTGGTTCCTCCTGTGGTTACGGCGTATTATACATTTTTGGTCTTATATTACCTAAAGCCTCAAGATGAAGACACGAATCCTTTGAGGGTGGGTCCGGGAGGTGCGAATTTTGCGTTTTGGAGTTGGTTCCTTATCGGTATGTAGCTTGGTGATTGATCTCCAACGGCTGTGGAAGCCCTGGGAGCTATGTGTCTAATTCAGAGTCTTCAGGTGTTTTTGGGTTGAACCTGTCAAAATATGGCCTGATTGGTACCGAAGCGGGAATGCTGATGTATAATCGATCTCTGGGGCCTAGGAATGCTCTTCAACTCATGATGCATGCAGATCGAACATGGAGTGGCCCAAGCGGCTGGCTAAAGATCCTTCGAAAGTCTCTGTTCCTTTGGAAGGCAGATGGGCGGTCTAGCCAAAATACTCGAGGCCATGCTCCATCTCGCCTCTGGTTTGTGCTTTTGTTTTTGAGTGCTCTACCACTTGTCGCGCTTCCAATTTCCGGCCTGTGTATGGAGTCAGGAGATGGCTATATTTTTCGAAAGTCGGGTCCGTCAAATCAGGTTGTTCTGGGTCGAAATCAAGCCAATTTTGACCTCCGGGAGCTCTTTTCCATTTACGGGAAGGCCACGAACGATTGGAAAACAGGAGCGCCCGTACGTTTACCTGGAATCGGCGTGATGTATACGAGACCAGGCCTGAAACGCTCGGAATATGACTTTCTTCAAAGATTTCCCAACACATTCCCTCCTGATTCAGGGGTTCCTGAAATTTTCCTTGCTCCACAAGCACCTACTCCAGTCTTGGGGACAACGAGTGGTCTCCTAATTCGATACAATTGCTCGTCCGCCTCTAAAATTTCAGATTTTACGATTCTAAATCGTTTTCACGAGCGTGGGAACTATTCAATGCCAAAGTACGATTCCGAGACAAATATCGTTACTCCGAATTTTCATTACCGAAAAGTAGGCCAAGACCAGGTTACCCTTGCGAATTATCGAACGCCCAATATTGAAAACTATGAAGCTGTTATGGAATTCGGTTTTCCCAGTTATCCAGCTATACGATATCAATCTACAAATACATCCGAACGCCGCTGGGGAATCGAAAAGGATTTTCTCTCAGAATATATTCTCTATCAATATCTAGACCTTCCAGGCCCCAAGTCAGCCAATAAAAGTTCTGTCAATAAGTTTGATGAAAGTCTCCATGGTCAAGTGAGCATGGAGGTCGACGAACCTATTCCTGATGTTGCAGAGAAGTACCATCTTGAACACCACTCGACCGGTGGGAGTAATTCCACCAACACTATGAAAGTTGCCATTGGCATACGGTGTACTTCCGCGTCTGATTTCGGGATCGCTGATGTTGACGGCATGTCCAACACGTTCACCAACTTCAAACCTCATGATGTTATACCCGCTGTGGGTACAATACTTGGGGCTCCACCCTTTGGCCCTGGCGCAGTCAGAGCTCTGATATTTAAATTGGCCGAATATGACCGAGCTCTTGGTTCTATAGGGCCACAAAATGTACTTTCATCCGTGGAGGGTCCAGGGTACATTGATCCTGGCAACAGACGTAAGGTGATAGCTCCCAGCTACATCCAGTCCACGCAACTCAGGAACTCTGTTCTCCAAGCCCATGCTGCTTTCGCCTTGGAATTGGCGTACGATGGAGTTGCCAAGTACGACAACCTGTCACAGTATCTCCGTTATTCCAATGGCTCTTCTGAGGCTCCAAGTTCCGAATATCATTCTCGCAGTTTTTTCACGCACGAAAACTTCACCACCACAACGCCGGGAAAAGTCCTTACCCGTGGCCCGTTGAAAAATATATGGATTCCTTTGTATCTACTGGTTCCCTGGACAATAGGGTCTGTGTTTCTTGCTCTCATCTACTCTCACAAACCGAGATGGTCCGAAACGTTTGATGGGTACAGTCTCTTCCGTTTTGGGGCTGATTTTGCGGACCAGGTGAAGGGGCGGCGCGAGTTTGTAAGCACAGAGGACTACGAAATGTGTGGTGCTTTACGAGATCTACCAGGATTTATTGGTGACTCAAGGCCATTGTTCACACCTGGTCATATATCGCTGGTCAAGAATAGTATGGCAGCGCCAGACAAATTATACATGTGAATGATGGTTCAGCGACCATTATGACTACTGTCGGGACGAAAGGTATTTCATGGATTGGGAAAGCTCCAAAACTCCAATATTTCTGAACTTGAGGGTTTATCCAACATTTCACTCCTCATATTCTGGCGCATCCGATGCACGACAGTGGAATGATATTCTAACATAATCATTTGGTGTAGTTTGTTTTAGACTTGCCCTCTCGTGTTCAGTCAGCAGGGTACTCTTCAATTGAAGAGCTGCATGACTTCATCAAATTTTTATTTCTATCAGCACAGCACTGTCAAGGATGTGTCCCTTTTTCTTGGAGTCTTTCTATTGATGATGGCTATCTGGTGAATGAACCTTTGTACGAGGTTTCCACTTGTTTTTCTGTTCCACCGATATCAGAATATTAATTTGAAATTTCCCAAACTCATCACCGTTCTTCACTCAAGCCTTCCCTCCATCTATCTGGTCATGGAAAGTGGAATATGCCAATATTTTTCGGAATTCTAGCTCAACCACCTTGCCAAAAATTTGGTGCTGCTAGGCAAACTGAATAAGTTGACACAACCACTTCGATAAGCCAATAGCAAGGGATGCAACTATTTTACATAAACGAGGCTTGTACAACATATATCCTCTTATCCTCAGACATTGGCATCATTCATATGTCAACAACCAATAATGTATGCCCACTACTCTCACAGATCTGAGACTGCGGTCACGAGATACTCCCTGGGCACCAATGCATCCATGAACAGCAACGAAGATAAAACAACCACCCTGGGTACTCACCCACACCGCAGTATGTAAAGGAGAAAACAGCAACATGCCAGCCCTCTTTTCTTGGCCGCGCAATGGCACCAAGAACATCGTCATCAGGCAAATGCCTCAGCAAGGCCATTATTATCCTAAAGATAGAAATCAATGGGGGAGAAAATACTGAGTTTCCACGCCTTATGTCAAAGAAATGACTGCATGCGGAGAGATCCCGAAGCCACCACCTCAAGTTCCCTGCCCATAGAAAATCTTTACATCCATTCCCGCCGCCCACTTTCCCTTGCACACAACCTTGGCAAACTTTACTCGTGTGACGCGCATAAAGAGAGAGGACAGCTTCAAACACTAAAAGAGAACAAACGCCAGGGGGTGTCTTTTCTGTCGCCACATACGGGAGCGGTGAATTTATGATTTATGCTGCGATTCCAAAGTGGGAAATTGAGACACTATGTACATGTACATTTCTGAATCTTCACATGACATGAGCATGAGCCGAGCGAATTGAAAAAAAAAAATTCCCCAGAGACGGATACATTTTATTGTATCTCGGATATATATATATTAATTTTTGTATCTCCTTTTTATTCTATATTTCACGAGATTTTCCCCGCAGATATTCCTAATCCGACTCCTTCCAAAGCTAACAATTTACATAAACTCCGCCTTTGGCGGTACTGATAATCGGAGACATGAATTTGCCTTGGGGGAAAGTTTGGATACAGTGGAGGATGGAGTTGGGGAACGATGGGCAAAATGTCTGGGGCGGAAGGCTGAATTGGACTCCACGGGCTGTATGAAATCATGCGCCTGTAATAATATATTAGGGACACCCTCCATCATGTCATACCAGACAGGAGGATGTTTCCGCATGTCAGAGAAGGGATGAGGGGGATGTTGGAATATTCTGATGAATAGATGCGCTTTTTGCCCTCTACGCCTGGATTCTTTATCCCTGGGGATCCGCCAGGGAAAGATACAGTGTTTCTTCCCGTTCCCAGCAATAGAGTCCCTGGTCAGTTCAGCATTCGGTATATGGAGCGTAGCAAGGGCTTCTGCTTGATTGACAGATACCGGGGGGACCGACCCATTATTATTTCCTTCACGAGCGCATCCGCGTCTCAAGGATGGTATCATTATTCAAAATGTGCCATTCAAACTGGGCTGATGCAGTGGGAAAGGCTTTAGTCTCTAGCATACCAATCTTCATGACCCCTTTGTTGAATGGAGAACGAAAGAAATCCGAGTATTTGGGCGTGTGATCCAGTTTCCACCTGTATGGAGGGTTTCCGGAGAGTTTCTCGGGACTGAAGCGGACCCTATAGCCATATCATGCAGGGGTCGTTCTTGAGGATGATAGAAGGAAGGAAATTAAACGGGGTGGAAATAGTGACATGACAGCTGGATGAAGGAGGAGATGAACGAAATTGCAAGCAGCAGAGCAGGCCGGAATCAGAGACAAAATCCAATATCGAAAAATTCAAGCAGCAATATCCCAACCATACTAAAACACACAAAGAGATAGGTGAATTATGGTGCTTCTTTGGGTTGACCATACACTCAAGACAACGAGGCGGCACTAATCCATCAGGTCTGATACACTTAATACCTCCCCCTGCCCTGCTCATCCTTGTATTGAAACCCTGGAGAGGAGCCTATTCCTCTGGCAGCGCAAAAAGGAAGAAATTGCGTACAGCGTAGAGGGTCATCTTCATCCACATCCTGCTAACCTAGCGAGCACGTCTCCAGCGGGTTAGTTTCTCCAGCGGGTTAGTTACCCTCTACTAGGCTTCCGAAAGACTGCGACTTGTGGGAGGTTGGAAGCGGTTTAAAAACCAAAAAAAAAAATTGGTCGTAGGGAACTTCTAGCTTCAAGTATCCTTTTGAGTTGAAACCAGGCAGGCTGCTTGAAGAAAAACAGGCTGAAAACGGAGTTTCGAGCCAACTCGTTCTTCGTTGACAAGAATTTACTAATATGGCTTGTGGCGTTTCCTGTCAACCAACGCTTTTTCCCAATTACATACAGACCTTCAATGGTTTCATCGAATGATGTACGTACGGGTTGTGTTGACCTGACTATTCTGCGACATGATAAAAAAGAGCTCCTCAAAAACTGTTTTCGATCTCGGCACAGCCAAGTTCTATGAATAGTACATACCATGCCCTTGCCATTCATTATTGCCTGCCTCATGATTGACCTCCAATACCAAAAATAAGAATACTAGTTTGACAAACCCCGCCCTATATTGACACCTGTCCAGCCAGAGCCGAAGTTGCGAAGTCTTTAGTCCAACGCAAGTTCTGTGACAGAATTCCTGTTAAATGTCGTCTTTGAAACCCGACAAGCGAGAATATCTTTCAAACGCCGCAATGATTGGCTGCATCGCCACGGCCAGCACATACTGTGGCGAGGCCCCAACCCGGCTACATCGAGATTCCTGACTGTCCCAGACAAAGGGCAGCTGATTCTGGGCTGGTGGAGATGGTCTAGATTCTTCAGTCGCCAGAGTGAGTCAAGTGAGGTCATCGAATTGCCTGAATGCTTGTTCCACTGATTGACTGGGCTGAGTTGTAGGGGTCATTGACGAGGATGAGGAGAAGAGGAGGAAGAGGAGAAAGGGAGGAAGAGGAGGAAGAGGAGGAAGAGGAGGAGGAGGAAAAAGAAGAAGGGTGTGTGGGATGAAGATGTGGAATTAAAGTCCTCTAGGCTCGATGCAGGGAGGTTGCTAGCTAAATACGAGTCACTGACTCTTCGGCCTGAAATCTGCTAAACAACTTTCTTTACCTTCCATTTTTACGGAGGTTATGAGGAATTGAAACCGAATAATGGTGGTCCCTTATAATTGTATAGTTTTGCAAGCGACCTCCGTCAGGCTCCCCCCGCCTGCATTCTGAATGGATAACTAGTGCCACCAAAACACAGAGAAACACAGACGCCCAAGAACAGTCCGGTTAAAAGGTTGATGATAATGGAGCAGCGTGTTAATCTAATTCCCATGACAAAGCTAACCTCACTCGCTGCCTTGTTGCGGAGAACTATATATACCTATTTAAGTAATTTCGAATATTGCGAGGAAGCAGACGGAGTAGAGTAAGAGCAAGAAAAGAAATGATAAAGAAAAAAGAAAAGAAAAGTAAACATGAGCCGGGGCTCCATTCCACGGCCTTCTTTAGAAAAAAATATAAAAAAAATATGACGGCTACTTGGTACTTGAGCTGGGCTATTATTATCCGAAGACGGAAGTTCGTTCAACACTGGTTTTACATTGCTATTCTGTACCACTGCACGGCGGGCATGGCACAACCGAGAATGGTGCCTGTTTGGTTTGCTTGCCTTGCCGTCAATGGCATTGTTATAACCATGAAAGGTCAAAAGCCATGAATACCCTTCGTAGGCACCAGCAGGTTCCATGTATGTATGTATGTACATGTACATACATACATTGTCTTCTCTGCGGGGCGGAATTGATCTTTTCAACGGTAGACTTATGAGGAACGAGTATCATACCGACGGCAGATGTATAGACAGAACAAGTCATGCATGTGCGAATAAGTATGCATAAATCCAGAGACAGAGAGAAAGTCGGGCGGGCTGATCAAGCTGTAGAATAAACCGACCGGCTTCGAAAAATAAGAACATGGGGCTTGCGTTATTAACTACATTTGCAAACCACCCCGCCCCCCCGGGTTTTCTTTTTTTTTTTTTTTTTTTTTTTTTTTTTTTTTTTTTTTTTTTTTTTGCGCTCTTTCTGCCTGGCCAATATCCTGGTGGTGCAGTGCTCCATATGAACTTCACTACTCTGTAAGCACTAGGGAGAGAGCATAGCAAGGATTTCGGTTACCGGTCGGAGATCGGCAGGGAAACTCAATTGAGATCAGGCGCGGCTAATGGCACACATCAGTTGGTGCGAGCGATATTGAGGCAGTCCGCTTCTTCCTTTGATAAGAAGACTCTTTGGGATTTTCAAAAAATTACACGCAGATGTCACAAACTCTTGCCACGTATGTAATTGATCCGATCCTATCTTCCCTGCCGCTCAATGTGGTAATCACGGGCATCCCATAGGACACCAGTAGATAACGTGAGCAGTATATAGCTCCAGATAAACTTCCGCGCCCACAGGTGGCCCTTGGAAATGTCATGGTAGTGGTATCTTTTTCGGGATTTGCGTGCGAGATTATGACAGGGGAAAGATAACGCGAGCAGTCCGTCAACCAAAAACATCTTTACTCCCCAACATGAGTTTCGCGAGTTCTTTCTCTTCCAGAAAGGGAGAACCCCGGTACCAGTGAACAAATGAAACGAGAGACCCTGGAGATAATGCAGCCTGGTGACAAAACCACAGGCGCGACATTCCCTTTTCGGAGCATGCGAGCGTAAGAGTTTGATACGCCTACTTACGTAAAACCCTCCCCCTACCTACCCTACCCCCAGCACTAGGTATTTTTAGAACCGGGGCCACCCAAGGCGATTGTCATCCTGGAGTTTCCCTGCAGGCTGCAGCCCTGTCTCAAGGTAGCCTGGCCCCCCCCGTTCAACCGGCGCTGGGCCTTTATGATTTATGGCCGTTTTCAACCCTTCTGTCCCTAGGTGATGATGGAAAGAATGCTACTCTGAACAATGACATTGTCACGCCTATGCATTAGCAATGGAACGTTTATACATAGGGGGTGTGTGAGTGATACCCTACATGTTTCAGTAGTGAGCTCCCTTGAGACACCGAGCTGAAGAGGCAACAAGAATGAAACGGACGTTGGTGCCTAATTTTAAAGTTCAGATAAGGACGAAACGGCTGCAGCATTGGGAATTTTGCAAATATTGGGCAACCTAATCTTCCATTCGCTCGTGGATGATGAATAGTAAGTTTTGAACCACTGAGGCCTTCATTTTCAGAAGTTTCAGTATGAACCATTCATAGAATATATATATTTCGGCCATTGGTTAACTCAAAGGCCCTCCGCAGAGAAGCTCCAGAACCCGTTGGTGTGAGTTTTTACCTCGCTTTGGATGGTTGAAGAGCCTTTCTATCAACTGGGTGGGTGCATCTAGATGCCTACCCAATACCCCCGCCATATCGCCGGTTCGGACTGAGAAGTGTTTTATTATTATTTCCGCATGGTGCACCCGGATCTCCAACCTAGGAGCTTTCCCACCTCAGGCATTGGTTGTAAAGCCGTTAAGAGTCGAAAGCCTTATTCTTGAACCCGGTATAATTCGGCAGCTTGAATTAAATAGAAAGAAGAAAGAAGAACAAAAAGAATAAAAAAGAAGAAAGGAACCCCGGGTGGGTGGCTGTAGCCCTTGACGCATTCACTCTCCGAAACTATAAAAATAAAACTTGGCCAAAGAATTCGGAGAGTAGTTATCTCAGGGCTGGAGCGTTGTTGAAGAATCTGGATAGGATTCGATCGGTTCTCGAGGCAAGGGAGGCCCTTTGCACTCTTCTTGCGAGTAAGCTGATAACAATAATGGAGCGCGCTTGGTTTGTGACTTCTCAAGGGTTAAGCTGCCCAAGGCGAAATGGGAATGAATGAATCCTGGCCAAAGCTAGCCGCTTATCTTATTCGTGGCTTAGGGTGGGATGGGTGTGAAGCTTAGGAGGTTGAGGGTAACTAGAGGAACTAGTGAAGCCTCAGCTTGCTTAAGTCAAGGGCTGGCAATCCCAGACGGATTCAAACTACGGAGTACGGAGTACTCCGTTATTAGGGGGGGGGGGGGAGAGACTTCCCACCCATCATCATCATCATCAAGAACAGAGCGGAGATGTGCAGTCTCGGCATGCTCCAGCGAGCCCGCGCTAGTGAGTATTATTTTAACTTGCCGAGTTCAGAAAGTCAAGACTCCACTACCGTGCAGGTGTGATGTTCATGCAAAATACGCGATCTGGATAGATCGACCGAGATATCGGGTTGAAGAGGGGAAACAAGCAAAGAAGCAAAACAAATGCCATTGGCGGCGTTCAGCTTGGCTAACTCATGTTTGGCCAGTGGTTGTCCGTGCAGCAATTTGCCAGCTAAAACGAGAGTTGTCCGTAGCAGCTTGATGGGCAAGCTTCAACTAGCCAGCCCGCATCTCAGCCATGCATGCATGCCCGCCCCGTCAGGGCGCCGTCATTTGGTGGTTTCTGCGGAAGCCCCGTTCATACATGTAAGATTATTAATTATTATTATTGTACTCCGTAGATATCTTGTGTCTCCAGAGCTCATTTTGTTCTTCCCGAGTCGAGTGAGCCGTCGGCCCTCGTGCCCCAGCAAAGCCAGAACGGAAGTTCGTTTGCTGCCTAAATTCTTAGCGGTAACTTACGCATGCAGCGCGCGCCCTCTTTAGCTGCATACCCTACATACATACCGTCGTCCGTTGGGGAGAAGCGCAAACCGCCAGCATGGGGTACGGTACTAGGCGTGGTGGTGCATTTAGGGCCCCCAACCTCGTGAGTGGCATTTAGCTCAAACCCACATCAACATCATATCATGCTGTGTGCTGTGTGCTGTGCTGTCAGGATTCTTCTTCAGCGCTAATAATAATGCCATAGTATAGTTACATTGCCAGCAATTTGGGTAATGAATGTCCTGCCAAAAAGTCAACGTAGGACTCAAGTTCGTCATCAGCCGCGCCTTGATGCTCAGGGTTTTCTTGGAACTTCTCTCTCTTAGGTTTCCAAGCTTTGGTCCCTGCGTCCGCACCAATTGAATTGGCATCAAAGTGCCTTTGTTTTAATCGCAGGTGAGTTGGCGGGATCGCGAGGGCGATGATGCCTCACCGCGGGCTCATCCACATGATTCTTCTTCTTCTTCTTCTTCTTCTTCTTCTTCTTATTATTATTATTATTATATTTACTCGTATGCAGTCAGAGACTTATTTAATAATGACGAGTCCTTTGAGTGATGTTAAATGCATGTGATTATGTAATGGAGGAATCACAACAACATTCATTTGTTGACGACAAGACAACAAGAAACATGGGGAATACATAGAGAGAACAAATTAAACACTTGCAAATACAGGCTTCCAACCCAGAAGAAATGAGCGATTCAAAGTAGCGATTCAGTACATCTTCAATTTTTGTGGTACCCAAGATGTTAGGTTCCTTGTTTTGAGTCACCCTGCGGGAATCACACACACCCAACCCGCACGCATTGGGTTTCCCCATGTCAAGGCATTGGTTAGAGCGAACTTGATGCTTTGTTAACTATCTGCTGACACAGCGGTCCTTGGGAACAGCAGCTAAACGTACCAATTCCCACAAGCTTTTGCCCGTACCGTGGAACAAGGCATATAATAATAAGTAAAAGGGAAATCAACAATCTGCAAATTGCGCCAGTTAAAGCAGCACTAGTTAGTTAACCATTAAACCCAAGCAACCCTAAAACCCCCCCATTATATACCACCAGCTCAACCCCGCCCCCCCATATAAGATATATATATATATATATTTTCTTTTCCCCGGATGTAAAGGGTAGAGTCGATGTGTTATCTTTTGCCTAGGCGCCATTCTGACAACCAGGCTGATAACCATAAATCATAGTATATATTTCCTGTGTACAGAAGAACGTTTATGCCTCGGTACTTCAACAAGATAATAATAGACCAAATTTCTACTGAACCCCACACAGGTGGCGAACAGCAGAGAAGGGGCTTCTCTCTTTTGTCAGCCCTTGGTTATCTCTTGAGAAGAAACATGGTAACAGTGCCATGCAATAAGTTTGGAACTTTGTGACTTTCCAGAAAGCAAGAGAAGAATATATAGAGATTGTATTATTTTGAGAAAAAATGTGTGAGGAAAATAGGGGTCGACGGGTGTACTGAAGTGTCATATGGGCTCTATAACTTCTACTAATTACTATGCACCAAACTACTTCGGGACTAGTGGAACTTGACTTAGCTGTGCACAGGAAATGGTTCATATTAATATTGGTTCATCTTTGCTTTCGCCCGTTCCTCCGTGCTGCGCATGGTGTTGCTGTTGCATCCCACCTACTAACTACTGCGTTGTTAGTTGTTCTCAAGTTTGCTCGTATTTTTTTTTTTTTTTTTTCTTTCTTTTTTTAGGTAGTTAACTAGTCTGATACCTACAATAATAGTTACCCATGTAACTAGCCATGCGATTTCAATACCTATGTGCCTCGTTACCAAATCCAGCGCAAGCCCGGCACTGTGGCGCGGGTTTGAAGGACTTAAAAAAAAAAGGAATATGAAATTCCCATAAATATGTGACGGCTGGTTTTCTGAAGTGAAGCGCTATCCGCACCACGCGCACCAATATGTAAATATGATTGATGTAGGACAAGGATTTGGCCGTTAGAAACTCAATTGAGCGTGGTTTGTGGCAGAGACGAGGGCCAATCAAACAGACTCCCGCTACCTTGAGTATATTAGTTGTATGGTGCAAATATGTATGTTCAAACCAGGCTGGAGTTTAGTTAGATATTTCCTCTGTGCTGAATTAAGTTTAAATTTTTGGTGGACCCCTTGATATTTTATTTTCCATTTAGGCTCTGACGCTGAGCGGGAAGTGGAAGTTGTAGTTTAGTTAAGCGTAATAAGAATAAGGTGGAGGGATTGCCGCAGAGGGAGGGGCAAGGAAATCATAAAAAGAGGGTCATGAAGGTTGTTTCTATTAGGTTTCCGTTGAGACTTTGGGCTTAAAGAGATCATGTTGAAGTTAAGAAAACGGGGCCATATCTGCTCCCGCAGAGTTACCCTTAAACACCAAATGTGGGATATGGATGAAAGTTGGAGGTCGAAGCTAACTCCAAACTCACCGCTCTATTTACATTATTTACCGATTGGATTGCACGGCTTGTCTCCAGTGAGCCCACAAAATAAATAAAAACTCTTCATCTTTCTCTCTCTATACAGCCTGAGTGCACAGATTTTTGTTCATTTAGAGGCGTGTCCCAACTCGAGCCACTTTTGCTTGCCCTAGCCTCCACCGCATCTAACCAGCATTTAATATGTCCAGTATTTTCTTTTCCAACCGTGACAAGTACGAGGCGTCTTCAACTTGCAATTTCTGGACAATGGCTGATATAGGCTGAACTGCCACATAACTTACCCGAACATAGGCGGTCTTGATATCTACGAAGATCATTAGGGAAATCTCTATCTGATGAATCAAACATTCTTGACGAGATTGCCCTCGATATTACCACTAGGTGGCGAAAAACCAAAAAAATAAAAAAATAAAATAAAAGAAATACAATAGTGATGATAATAAAGACATGCAGTATACCCCCAAAACCAACGTGGCTTGGAAACTGAATAAAACAATAGAAAACACCGAGAGCATAGTTATCCATCAGTGATTCCTGTGATGACCCGTTCGATGAATTGCCTGAGCGTTCTGTTGCTTCCTTGAAATTTTTTTTTTTTTTCGAACGCGCGTATCACGTATTTTTAACTTTGGGTCTCTTGGAAAGGCATCTCTATCGAATGGGTGAGTGGATGAGCTCCCGGATTGCTGCCTCTTCATCGTCGTTCTAGCCAGAGCCCTGAGTCCTACGCATCGTAGAGGTGAGGCCCGGTTGAGAGAGGGAGAGGGCAAAAGCCACTTAACGGCAAGGTGCACATAGATATCCAGCGTACATTCATCAAAGTGTTTCCTGGATGGGCTTTATGCGCGCTCTTATTTGTAAAATGTGACGACCTCTCTCCACTCTGTGGCTGTCTCGGAAACTTACCTACAGGAGGCATTTAAAATGAAGAGGAGCCAGCATCCACCCAAGCGGTGTCTCTGAGGGGATTTCAAGGGAAAAATAGAAAAAAACTAAAAAACTAAAAAAAAAATAGCCAGTTATATCGACCTCATATTGACCAGCAAGTATCAGTGCTGCCTTCAAGTAATTCTTCAGCCCCGCCTCGTCTGCTGTATCCATCGCCATGCATAATGCATCTAGATGTCATTAGCATCAACACTTTTCAACCCATATTAGCAGAGTATGAGGGGGCTGGAGGCCCTTATTTGGCGCAAGCACAGGCCTTTTTGTTTCCATGCCTAGCTGGCTGCTGCTCTGGTAATCTCTGTGCGTCCTGCTGCAATCATCATGCAAGACAAAGCCACATATGTTTCTTGGTTTGGTGCCGTTGATAATTTGGCAGAATGAATCAACAGCCAGTCCAGTCCAGTCCAGCAAGATTTTCTTTCCCCTCACCTCGTTTCATCAGGCTTTAAGTTTTCTTGTCATCCGTTTCCTTTTGTCCGCCTCTTCCCCTTCTTCTCTTTCCTTCTTCTTTCTATTTTTCAAAAGGCCATTTCATTGTTGGAATCTGCATAGTGGATGGATGAGCTTGTAGCTGGAATTTGGTCCTGTCAAAATGATAAGAGGCCCAGCGGTGGGAGATGGTTTCTCCTCTGGAAATGTATTGTTTGATTCCAGGACAGTCCAAGTGAAAAATGCCTCGTTTTCTTCGTCACTAGTTTCACAATGTTTAGTCGAGCGCTCTCGGATCCGTACTTTTCCTGTCCTCGTTTTCCGTGGCTCTCAACGCCCACATGTCCAAAATGGCTCAAGACTGATCAGTGGCTGATAAGCTACCAAGCTTCGGGTTCCACAGCTTGGGCAGGCCAGATGGGTCTCTGCTTTGGATACGTCGCGTTTTCTTTTTCCTTCTCGCATTGCCTTTCTCCTCCCCCGGTGGTTAGCGCGCCAGGTAATTCAGCTCGCTCCACCCGGCTGAGTTTATTCAGGCGTAGGGGGTCGTAGTTGTCTCTATGTTAAGACCGACCCTGGTCCCTTATCGATTGGGAGATCAACCCCAAAAATCGTTCCAACCCTTCTGTTTCTGAGCTGGATTGGCATGACGAATCAGCATTATTCGCCTCGCTTTGGAATAAAAATATGTACATGTACATGTACATGTACCTGAGTGTTCTATCTATCTCGGTGTTCGATAACAATCATCGTGCTATTTTGGATGTTTCTTGGGGTTGACATCCTTCTTCATCCGTACATAGGCCGTGGTTGATGTAGTTATGTAGTAGTAACTAGCTAGTTAGTTGGTAGCTAACTAGTCAAACAAAGGAACACAATATGATACAACCCA